GAAGATACAGGAAAAGCACTTGACAACGTTTAGAATCCATTAATGCTAAAAGCCCTCAGCAAATTAGGAGGAAATTTCTTTCACCTGCACCTGCAGTAACAGCTGCGTGTGACGGTGACACTGCAGGGTTCCCACCTGCAAAAGTGTCCACTTTAGCCCTGTTCATCTTTACACCCCCCCACCCGGAGTAAACCAAGGAAAAGACAGCAAGGACACAGAGTTTAGGAAGAAGCGAAACTGTCACTACTTGTAAACAGAATGAATGAGAGTACCCAGCGGATCTACATGGAGGGTCAAATTCCTAAAAGGCTGCAAAGTACAAAGTCAGTATGTCACCATCTCTTTCAGAAAACAGGAAGATACTTCTAATTAGTCATGCCTAGCGCTAGTAAAAAAAAAAATAGTACCACTTACAATAGCATGCAGCATTGTTTTGTAAAAGTATTGTGTGTAAATATGACAGCAAAACACTAATGAAAGAAGTCAAGGGCCTAAAGAAATGGAGAAACATTACCATGTTCATGAATTAGCAGACACAGTAAGTGGTCAAATCCTCCCAAATTGATCTGTCGTACCAATGCAGTCTCAACCAAAATTCCAGGAGAATCTTTTGTAGTATTTAAAAGCCAATTCCAAAATTTATGTTGGGGGATAACCACTAGACAAAATAATTTTGGAAAAGAATAAAACTGTAAAACATATTGACTTCAGGGCTTCCTGAGAAAGTTTCAAAAGTCCTCTAATACAGCACAGCACTTGCATCAAAACAGACATAAAAAGTAAATAAAAAAAACCTCAGCAACAGATTCATATAGCACTCCACAAAAAGGCAAAGGCCAAATTCATAGGAAAAGGATAATTTGGGGGACACACTGGAATCCCCACCCTTTATTCCCCTACTCCGTGTCTGTGTATGTACACAAACACAAGGTTGCTCTATACCCAGTAATAATCAGACCCCGCTCCCCTCTCTCTCTCTCTCTGATACTGGGATTAAATCCAGGGCTTTCACACAGAGTGCACCCCCGCCGCTCCCAGCCCTTCTTCTGTATGTATTGTAAGTTTTGGGGCAGCCTCTCCTGAAACTGCCCAGGCTAGGTTTGAACTCTCAATCCTCTTGCTTCGGCCAGTACTATAGGCTTGGGATACCACACCCAGCCATCAGGCTTGTTTTCATAAATGCTCTCAGTGTCACAACTTTTTGATGCTAAAACAGGACCATGTTTGACTTCAGCTTAGAATATTTGTTTTTAAAAATTAGGTTTCCAAAAAATAACATTAAATTAATAAAATTCCAAAGGAGATGTTCAAAAGGCAACACTAGTTTTTAGAATGATATACACCAACAATCATTGTGGAAAGCTACACGTAGCAAGCACTGGATTAAATAGCTTCACTCTTCAAAGGAAAATAAATACTGAACTCAAATGAACATGCATTCCACTCTATTTATTGCTTGCTACTCCTCCATTATTAGTTTGCATTATTTTTTGACAAGAAAAACATTTTTCTCCATGCAATCTTTTTCCTTCCGTCAAATGCAAATCCTTGAATCCACAAACGCTTTAATGGTTCCCAAATGGAAACTAAATTTCACAGCCCTCGGTGTGTCTGGTTTTGACAGTATTGATTCTTTTGTTATTATCTAGAGAGGATTGTTATTTGGGGCTCTAGGGGGTTTTGAAAAGTACTGACTTCTACTGTGACAATCCCTGCTCTCAGCAGCCTACACAGACGGACACAGAATTTGAATTCACAGCGGTTGAGCCTTTCAGAGGGTTTTGCTATTTTCCTCTTTACCCCCACAAATACCAAAAAAAAAAAAAAAAGCAAGCAAGAGAGGGGGAGCGTTGCCCTCCATTATTGCAGCTCCTGACACAAAACTCATGTTTCTCTCCTGCGAAATGAAAACTTGCTGTTCTGTCTGTTTGTTATATTTTAAAGTGGGGTTATATCCGGCATAGGTCTCATCTGCTCACCAAGCAAACAATCCTAACTCTACCAGAGTACTGTTCAGATACAATCCAATTACATTTGATGCTATCATGAATCTTTTCAATTCTAATTAACTGATGACTTTTAGGTGTTAGTAGTCCCAAAAGTTAATTATTTTTTAACTTGCCCAAATTTCATACATTTGTCCAGTTTAGGTAATCTGCGAAAAGCACTGAACCCAGAATCAAGTCCTCCGTGAGCACTTAGTCTTGGTTCTTATCATCCAGCAAGCATCTCTGGAAAATGCAGTACCAGAAAAGACCAGATACTTCTACCAGCTCCCTTTCAAACTACTCGTTCCAGTCTCTCAGTACAAGATTACCGAAATACATGGACTAAAGCGCCTGCCACGGTTCACATCTAGAGGTGCCCCCAAAGCTTCCTGTGCTCACAGATGGGGCTTTTTCAAGGTGACTGGATCATGGTGGGTCACCCTGGATCAGTCCACTGATGGCTTACGGCTGGGTGTGATGGTGGGAGGTGGAGCCTTGTGGGAAGGGGCGGGTCCCCCTCAGTTTGGTCTGGAGATGTTTGTACAAACAGCCCTCCTCTGCCCTTGATCACATGCTAGTTCCTGCCTGCCACTTTGTGAGCTGTGTCTTTTCCACGAAGCCCCTCTCCCACACCACCCTGCTTTGGAGCCAGCAGACTATGGCTTAAAACCACTTCAAATGTTAGCTAAAATAAACCTTTCCTCCTTGAGTTGTGACTGTTGGAATATTGTACCCCAGCAATGAGAAAAGACAAAAGCCAAGAATGAATAATTCTAGTATTTTCTTCTTAGTGAAGTATTTTGCATTTTTATTAAAAAAAAAAGCAGATTGTGGGATCTATGACCCATTAACAGTTTACTGCCTCCCTCGTTCCCAAAATGTGTGTGTTGTCTTGAATAATAATCTTGAAATGATTTGAGTTTTGAAATTTTAAAAATTAGAGTGAAATCCATCAAAAATCTTATTATGATTAAAATATAACGAAACCCCAAAGAGAAGGTACATTTATTTTATAGAAAATAAGATGCCATCTGTCCTCAGATGGACATAGTGGCCACAGACACCTGCGAGGGGCGAGCAAGGTATGGAAACTGCAAGTCCCCGCTGTGCTGTGCAGAGGTTGCACCGCTCTGCAGGGCTCCACCAGCGAGACTCCCAGCGCTCAGGGAGAGCTTTCCTGAGAGGAAACCTGCAGCAGCAGCAAAGGAACTGCCGTTTTTCATGTGTAAGTTGACTGCTTCTGCTGGACAAAAGTGAAAAGCTGGCGTTCTAAGATTTCAGGAATTTCCCATGTCCGTCAGTCTCTATGGCACCTGGCAGCTGGAACATTAAAGCAGATGCTGGTTGCCAGTTACTATGATCAAGCAACTCAACAGTGAACTAGCTGCTGCCACAGAAGCATTTCACATGTACTTACAATCTCCGCTTTCTCTGCATTAATTTGTATTATCATATCAAGGAACCCTGTACTTAAGTTTAGTCTCCCGATAAAAGCCTTGTGATGTTTTCTTAAAATTAATTCAAGATTAGTGCCCGAAAAAATTTAAGGGAAACATTTACTTTATCCAATAGAACTATGTGCCTTAGCCTTTTTTTTCCTAGCCATGAGAAAGCTTTGAATACGCTTCCAGAGCCACTGAGAGGTCTATTAGTAAATGATTCCTTTAACTTTCCTCTAGATGGTCTCATCGATTTTTATCCTGTTTCACATTATCATCAAATCACACATCATCAAATCTTTATAGAACAATTCAGTAAATAAATGCTAAAGAAATCCACATCAGGATAATTTATTAAGAAGTAATAAAAGAAAGAAATATGTTCACCAGAGTCTTAATTGATGGCAGGTTTTCACACATACTAAACACAAAAATTAAGAGTCACTAGCCATCATATTTAGTGGTTGTTTCTATTTTAAGATTTTACAATTGTACTGTAGCAGAAAATGCACACACACACACACACACACACACACACACACACACACCACCAGTACACTTCTGTATCTGTTAGTTGCCCAGGTAACAGTTCCTGTTCCTTCTGTTTCTTAGAAACAGCTGGCAACTACAACGTGTATTGTAGGAACCAAAGACCACCAAATACTCTGCTTCTGTACTTCCTGCTTGCTTATCCCACATAAGCCCCAAACTACCAAGAATCAGGGACTGACAATTTTTTCTGGAGGTTAAATAAATCTGCCTTCAAATCATGGCTGATGTTTAGGTGTTACTGTTTGCCGTAGCAATATCTTAAACATTTTCACTGTACGTTGAACACCATCATATCAGTTATTTTTTTCAGTAGTCAACTAACAACTAGTCAAAACACTTGTGCAACACAGAGCTGAGTATTTGCTACAGATGATAGAAATACCTGTGAAATTCCCAACGTAGTAACCCGGAAAGGCTGACCTAGTCTGGACATGACACAGGGGATGAATGTCTGTCTGCACATTGGGACCGGAAGATGCCCTGGTTTCCAGGACGTGAGGCTGGGAGGAGGTGGCGTGGCTGGACAGGCAGCTGGGCTGTCCCCGCCCAGTCTCTGTGGCATTCAGTCCCTTACCAGATGAGTCCAGGAAGGGTGGCCACATCCAACAGCCCAGAGAGCTCAGAAACATACCTGGAGAATTAAAACTGGTCCAGGACTAGGACTGAATTTGGACTCCACCACCCCTATCGCCAACCCTCTGCTGCATGTTCCATGAATGAATAGCAACCAAACTCCATGTTTTCTGGGAATGAAAATTTAGACTTCATTTATATGGCAACATTTTGCTCTGTCTCCTAAAAACTGGTTAACAGTTAAGCAAAAGCCATTTCATTTGTTTGTTTACTGTGGTCTCTAACAGTCAACTATTTTAATATGAATAAAAGAACAGACATTCATATTTAAGTAAGCTAGTTAAATTTTCTCAATACTGTAAAATTTACTGCCTGCGATTATCAAAGGCTTGCAGATGAATGAATCTTCTGGTTATTTAATAAAGCAGTGAGAACCGTGTTTGCTTACACTATGATGATCCCGTTGTCGATGGAAAATGAGTCGGAGGGTAACCCGGCAATGTTCCAGGCTCGAATCGTCACTGCCTCTCCCAGGGTGCTCATCAGTGAATACTCATCGGAGCAGGGTATGTCTCTTTCTTTGCACAGATTTGTCCACTCCTTGGTTTGATTCTTTAAAACATCCAGAGAAACAGGAAGGAATGAGGCTGGGTGTCACCAATGGGAAATTTTGTAAACTCCTCAATAGCACTTCGTTCACTGAGAAAACAAACCTTTTTCTGGCTACCAATAATGGATAGGATAACTAAAATATACAACACGAAGTCCCTTAGATATGTTCTGTTGCCCTTTGTTCCTACCAGAAAACTCCAAAGCAACCAAACAGACCCAGAAGGCTTGCAGCTTGGGCTGGGCTGCTGTGGGAGGGAGCAGGGAGACTGGGCATCCCTCACCTGTCTGTAGTTGGACGTGAAGGCGCCCAGGTAGGCCACTACTCCCGAGGAGATGAGGATGTCCCCAGTCAGGTTGATGTACAGCTGCCCCAGCTCCAGGGCCGAGTGGCTCCAGCGGGTCTTCTCTCCTCCCAGGCCTCCAATCAGCTGCTCTGCCCGCTCTAGCTTCTTGCTACATAGGTCAACCTCAAAAACAAAAGTCAGCCTCTGTCAACATCTGTGGAAAACATGAGTTCCAAATTCTGCAAGACCTCACCCTCACAGATACTTACAGACTTCTACCTAGAGTTCCTTTTCTTTTTCTTGTTTTAATTTTGTGGAGTTCAATTTCAAAACAAAATTATTGCAAGATACCTTTAACCCACGCTGGCTCCACGCGTGCCTCTGTCTGCCTTTCCCTCCCTGAGTGGTCACTGTCTAATTCTTGTACTCAAAGTAGGTGCCCCAGAACCTCATGCTGCCCATACCAGGAGGGACACACAAGGCTGGCGCATGGTGCAGATACTTTCCCTGACCCTTCCTATGAGCCATGTGGGGCTGAGAGGAGAAACAAGAAGCCAATCTGCCCTTCCAATGAGCCAGCCAGCATGCATGCTGGGAGACAAGAAGCTCCACCACCACCCTGTAAGCAACCAGCTGATTTGGAGGAACACAGGCCGAGCTGCTAGCAACTGAGGTTCAAAACAACTTAATGCTTGCATTGTTTGATTGACTTCGCAGGCATAAAGCCAGCAGTCTGAACATCTATTTAGAGGGTAACAATATGCAATATAGCAACTCTAGGGGATTTGCTTCTGTCTTGTTTTTGAAACCCAAAGTTTTTCTCACTATTTTGTTTTGCTTTCCCTAATATTTTGTTTTGATTGGTTTTATTCTGTTCTGTTTTGTTTAATTTTATTAAGCCTGATGGTATCAGCAACAATTTTGAAGATAACAAGAAGCATCATGGGAAACATTGTTGATTTCCTCTTAATCTGTTTTAAAGTCCTGTATCACTTTCCTTGTTTTGCGTTGATTGATTTTGTTTTATTTTGCTTAGTTTTATTCTTTTTAAAATAAAAGTAAAAAATACCATTATATATTATTAAACTATTTTTTTCTTTTTTATTATTATACCAAATAATCATGTGGCGTTGGATATTTTAGGTTACAAATGAGCTAATCTGTTTTTACACCCAAAAATAGGCTGGTAAAAAAGGATAGAAATATAACTTTTAATACTTTAAAATACTTTCTGTATAGTTTCCATAAACACACATAAGCATTTTGATTGTGACCAGCAGTCTAACTTTGTTTCTATTAATGTGTGTGGACAACTAGTTGTAGACTAACAATAGGACACATCTTATATCAAACTGTAACCTTATACATGAACCTTATGGTTTGAAATAAAGAGCAAAAGAAAATAACAATAATCAGGCAGTTTAGTGTATGTGCTGCCTAAGCAAGCACAAACCGAGAAGTTTAGAGTGGATTATTTATTTAATAAAATAGCATAAAGAATCAAAGACATTTAAGTGTGCTTTAGAGATTAAACTTGAACTCAACTAATTTATTTACATTTTCTATTAATTGCCTGCATTTTTCAGAGGAGTGCATGTTATTTTGAAGTAATACCCCTTTGCATTTGCAATTATTCTATGTAGGTTCTGATTTTTTTAGTGCTGATTCTATGTGTTTTATGACTATGATAAGCTGATTTTATTGCAGTTTCCGTGCAGAAATAACTGAAGTAGACTAGAATATAGCACAACTATTAGTTTGAGAACACATTTCTGTAACTAGAGCTATTAAAATCCTTTTTAGTGATAACTAAATTTGAGGTAACTAATTTCCCGTACTTCCATTCCCCTCCACTCCAAACCCTCAGAGCTGGAGCACAGCTCGGCAGCCCAGCACTTGCCCAGAGTACAGGAGACCCTGGCTCGATGCTCAGTGTTCCTGGCAAAACATCTGGATGCACTGAATTTCAGATATTTTACTTTATTTTATCTTTAACTTAACTTACCCTGGAGGTCAGTACGCATGCACAACACATCTGGATTCCTTCTACCTCTGCTTCCCCTCTTTCCCTCCTCCAACCTTCCTCTTTGGCCTGTAGTTATCATTGATTTGATGATGATTTTAAGAGTTAAATCTTTAAAAGTTTTAACGATTCGTGCTTATAAGGCACAGTCTTCAAGGTGTTAGTGTTAACCTACTCAGAGATTTACAATTAAGCTTAACTTAGTACACCAATCAAGACATAAAACCCTGTTTTGTGCACAAAACATCAGCCAAACCTGATTTCATGCACGTGATTATGCAGTGTGGCGAGACGGGGTGGGGTGGGGCGAGCACACTGATGAAGGCAGCAAAGTGGGGGGCAAGGGGGGGGAAGCCACCTTGTGGTCGGACACCTGAGTTACTCTGATGGAATTACTAGGTGTTTTAACATTGTTTTTCCTAAAGGAAGACAAGTAGTGTTTATCTTGTGGTTCAGAATGAAAATAACTTACATGGAAAGGGGAATTCAACAATCAATAACAGTAGAGGCTTTTTGATTATGGAGTAAGAATTTGTCTTATGCTTCTTCCGAATCCTATACAAATTTATATTAAGTACATGCTTTTAGATGAATATAAAATACAGTTCCCATAAAGATAGGTTCGAAAGAACCACAAGGTATATAGTGGGTAATATTTTTGATTCTCCCAAATTTAAACATTTTCTATTTAAATCTCCCTCTTTAAATGTATTTTGCCTTTCTAATTATTTCCCCTCTTCCATTTATTCTGTCAGAGATGCTTATAATTTTGAAAAATGACTATGAAAAGTAGCCATTTGAAATTACTAAGCAAAACTATTTTAGCTAAAACTTTTCTTCCAAAAGCAGATAATGGATATAAGCATAGGTGTGTGTGTTCACCGTACATCATAATTTTCCAAAATTTTATGATAAGCAAAATAAAAAATGTAAACACATACAAGAGTCCAAAATGTTTATGGCAAGCAACTTCACACCCGTCTGTTGGTTATATTAATTCAGACTAAAACTGGTCACTCAGCAAACACGTCCCATAAGAGAGGAGGAGAGTGTCTTTTCTCTGTGCATCCTGAATTTACGTAACAGAAGTAGACAGCCTGGGACTGCCGGAAGGCAGAGCCCTGACTCAGATTCCGAGGCTCAGGTCTTAGACTCAGGGTCCAGAAGCTGGGCTGACCACGAGCAAGATGCTGACCCTTTAGCTGCTTCCCAGTGGCGTGAAGAGTTGCCGCCCCGAGAAGACTGTCCCTGGCATGAGGGAGCTCATCACCCCGCTCTCTTGGACGCTGACAGGATGCTTTTAATAGTAACTCTGAGCATTCTGAAATTGTGTTATCCTTGTTCGTTTTGAAATAAGAAAATTAGTGCAAAGATTAAAAACAAAAAGACCAATGCCTTACATAAGCACTTGATAAATGTTTATACATTATGACATAGTTTGATAATTATTTTCTAGGACTAATAGATGTGAGTAGTTAACCTGTGTAAACCATACGACGAACGAGATGGAGTGATGGTGGTGAACCTACGGCACATGTGCCGCAGCGGGCTCTGTGTTATGATTGAAAACTCTAAAAGGTTCACTACCGCGCAGTTAGAGCAACGGTTTTGGTCTTGATGTTTGTGGTGGACACTGTGCAACTCTGAGTGTCGATGCTGATCTCAGCCACTGTTGTGCAACCGTGTCACTCGGGGCTTCAGCGCCCATGTCCTTAACTGCAAGATGCAGAGATTTAATCACCTAGCACAAGAGTAAGCTACAGCAAAGACGGACTTTTCTTTTTTAATGGAAAGGACCAGAAAGTAACTATTTTAGGTTTTGTGAGCCAAACACAAGGCCAAACTGAGAACACTGTGTATTACACGCAGCCATTTACTTACGTGGCCATTTACAGTGTCAACACTCTATTCACTCCTGGGCCACACAGAAACAAGGTGCACCGTGGACGCTGCCAGAGCTCGACCAGGGAGAGAACAGGCCTGGACAGTGACCAGCCGCACACCTCAGCGACCACGTGCCTCGGCAGCACGGCAGCGTCTCCCTTGGTGCGTACCTGGTTTTCCAAGTCAGCCTTCTTCTGTTTGTTCAGCTCGAGGGTGTCCTGCAGCCGGGCCAGCTTGTCCTGCACGGCCTGCAAGGCTGCCTGCTTCTTCTGCAGCCCGTCCATGGCCACTTTGAGCTCCGCTTCAGCAGAAGCCAGTTTGATCTTTTTGGGAGCGACAATTTTTGCCACTCTGTGGGAAGTAAAATTGGAAAAATTAAATACCCATTTGATCGGATGGGACATTTTCTGTCTCTGAATTTACTTTCCTTTTATTCTTACAATGACTCAGATGACTTCCTTCTGTAAAACCCACTCTGATTTCAACATTCCACATTTCATCCAAAAATCAAACCTGATCCCAGACATGGGAAATGCCTCTCAGAGTGGTTATCAAAGGCAGGCAGTATTTTCAAATACGTAATTTGTTTGTTCCCGCTTAAAATATGGCCTGAGTGAATCTTTGTGATTTTGCAAAAGGGGAACCGGACGTTCACACAGAGTATTACAATGTCAAACTATGGCTTAATCAGTTAGAGCTTAATTCTGATATCGATGAAGTGAAGTATTTAATCTTATATCATTTTTGCCTTTTAATAAAAATCCTAGAATGTTCACTCAACCAAAACAGTTATAATTATGAATGGGGTAATAAAAGGGGTTATATGGGGAAAAGGATGAATCTACATTTTCTTTTCAGTATCTAGAAAATGGAGTTAGTCGTGTTATTCTTCTAAATAAATGATACAAAATGAAATTAAAATTCATTAGTAATATATCACTGAGCATGTGTAGTATATGATGATTTAAAGGCAGGATGTAACAGTTGTGCTTTGGAAACTCGGCAATGCCTACTCTTTCGTAATGCTTCTTCTATAATCCACATGCAAGCATCCTCAGCTCACTAGAAGATGCCTCACGCCAGTGGCTCCCAGAGGGTTGCCGGGAAACCCTGGGCACCCTCCCGATCTTGGCCCCTTCAGGGCAGCCCTGAGGTTGTCCCCAGTCCTTCTGGAGACCTCTGTGGGTTTTCATAATGCTCCTCAATCCAAAACAGCCGAGCCACACCCTATAGTGGACAGATGACGAAGCCAGGGTGAGGGGGGTCCTGCTGTCTCACTTGAGCCATGTCTTAACTGGTCTCGGAAAAGTCTAATAAAACCTCTTTTTTCTCACAGTCGTTTTTCTTTTTGGGGGGAGAAGGGGTAAAAATGTAAATTTCTAAGAAATATATGTTGTTAATACAACTAATGTTTTATTGTTCTTATTGAATAAACTATACAATTCTCCATTTTAATTCCATTTTTGTTTGTTGATTGATTTTTTCATTTTCCCATTTTAATTTCTATCATGGAGAAATAATCAAAAGCTTCTGAGGTTCTTCAATATTTTCTAAGAGTGTGAAGGGTCCCTGAGTCCACAAAGCCTAAGAAACACCAGCTTCGTCCTGTGTTAGGACAGTCTCGCCTCTAGAAGACAGTGAACGCTGACAGGTTCTGATGGCACCGTCCGAGCCACTTTGCCCTGGGGCAGCCGCTCAGCCGGTACTGTGCCAACACCCGAGCATGGCACACATGCCAGGGCACGCAGGTACTCACTTGTCATACGAGTCCATCGCGATCACCCACTTGCACAGCCCCTCCGCGGCCGTGGAAGCGTTGCGAATCTTCTCCGGGATGAAATCAGGGTTGGGGATGTAACTTTTTCTGATGATGTTCATATAAGCGGCAGGAATGTTGTCCTTGTCATACTCGTGCAGCGACTGGAGGAATCGAATGTCCCCAAGCAGTCTCTTAGCAGGGCCCCAGAAATCCTCGATTTTCTTCCCTGAGCCGGTCGGGTCAGGGATTTTGTCTGCTTTGATGCCTTTCAAGATGCAGATGGCTTCCATGACGAGCTTGACGCCAGCCGGCGGGCTCTTCATGGACTTCACCACGGTGATATCCTAGAAACAACGATGCTTCCATCGTGAAAAAGACATGAGGGCTTATACACGAATGCTAATTTGTCCCTGATTTCAAACTAAGCCGGAAGATACAGACATTCATGGTACCCGGTAGAGATAGCAGCAGTGGTAGAACTACTGGACTTCCAACATATTGACAAGCTTGTCCCAAAGGAAACATTAAAACAAAAGACAGCAGGTTCCCTCTGTGAGATACTTATGGCACCAGGTCTACTTCAAAACCAAGGTCAGAGTCTACAAGGTCTCAAGAACTATAAAGTAGCAGCCGCCTACCACAAACATTAGGTAAGTACAGAGAATTAGACACACCAGGTCCTTCGAATCCTACGGAGTCTCCTGCCATCCTGCTGTATATTCAATATGCACACTTTGGTTTATATTCACCTGTATCTTTTTCTATGTCTATATCTTACATAGACGTATGCTGTTTTAAAACATATAGACATATGCCGTATTTATTTTCTTTAAAGAAGTTTACTTTTGCTTTTCTTTAATGCCTGGTACAACTTTCATGCTGAATTTTGTATTTTTTATAGGGCTTTGGACACATATTGGCAAAGTGGTCTCCAGAAAATACGTTGTTACATTCTCCTATCTCACCCAAAAGTGCAGTCCAGATTCCTAAAGAAATCTACCTTTGCTTTCCTCACTGAAATAGTCCCTTTCTGCATCACATTTTTAAATATATTTAATCAAATCTAGAGTAAATAAATTAAACATTATAAAAGACTATTATTTCATGTATCACCAAAAATGGACACATGCCAGCAGAATATTTTGTTTAGTATATTCACACCCTAATCGCAAAGCATCTGAGTGTGAAAAGCCTGGGACTCAGCTACACTCGGGTTTGGTGTCTCTGCGGATTGGAACAGGAGTTCCCGAACGTGCTGGCACATCGAGGGCAGCTCACACCGTCGGGCAGCTTTTCTCCTAAGATTGAGGCACGTTATTTCTGTCAGTCAATTTCCTGTCAGTCAATTTCAACATGTTTTCCGCTCCCCTACATTGTGAGCTACTGTTGGGGTTGGCTGACACATGCCCGGGAAGCCTGGCTCTCACCTGCGCGGTCAGGGTGTCCAGGGCGGTCAGCGCCGACTCCAGGATGGGCAGGGCTCCGGCCAGGTCCGCGTCGCACTCGTCTTTGATGGCCTTGGCTGCCATGGCCTGATCGTTGGCCACGATCTCATCAGCCTTCACTACCTTTTCCGTTTTGGCGACTTCGATGGACTCCTTCTCGATGATCACCATCATCTCATCCACCTCCTTGCTGGCCACCCGTAACTGCGGCTGCAGGGCCTCCAGCTCCGTCTGCATCGTGGCCACCTGCGAGGACGCGGAGTCCAGCTTGTCCAAGCCCACCTCGTACCTCCTCTTCATCTTCATCACCTCACTGAAGGCAGAAGGCAAGACAAGCTGGTGAGGAGCTGACCTGCAGCACCGAAAACTCGGGTGTTCTTGAGCCTCGGGGGCTGCTCAGGATGAACTTAAAGGGCATAACATTTTTCAGACAAAGTTACCAGTCTGTCAAAAACCTGCATCGGTGACAGGAGATCATGCACAACTGCAGCAGATGGACAGTCTGTCTCTTTTTGTGTCTGCAATACCTAAATGTACGAATTCAAAGTGGTTAAAACACCAGATGCCAGGAGAGGGGTCTTCTACATTAAAATCAATCACGTCTTTCAAATCAATCATCTCGTAAGTTGATTCTAAAATATCATTTCTCCTTAAAACTTCTTTTTTATAATCGCTACTTTAAAGACTCTTGTGCTCAAAATACAGTGTTTGGATTGTTGCCTGAGGTGACAATGCTTTTAAAATAGGAATTTTTTCCTATTTTAAAATAGGAACCTTATCCTAAAATAGGAACCTTAAAATAGGATTTTTTTTAAAAAATTAAGACAAAAGCAAAAGATAAGATAGATAATAAAGCTCAACACTTTTGGTGCAGATGAGTAGATAACTGATCAGAAATAATGTCATGTTCTGACGGACACTTCAATTTAACTTTTCCCACGCATCATCTTATCTGCATTTATTGAAAACCATCCTTTTTCAATTTGTTTGCTTGATTTTGGAATTCTGGACGTGTTACAGTGCTTCAGTGTAAAAGGTGACGCATTTTAGGAATCCTCTGCAGACCACACGCTGAAGCAGGAAGCCAACCTGGGCTGGAAAAGATAACCGGAAGGACGGTGAAAAGTCTGCCATCAGAAGAGGAACAACTCCTGGACAGAAATGAAGCCGGAGGGCTTGATGTCCAGGGCTGCCTCCTACCAAAGTGGGTTTGGGTACAGGAGCCACTTCCGGCAGCCAGCACAGGAAAGGTCTCAGGCCTGGCAGCACAGTCTCAGCACCACACTCGCCCACACCCACCAGCTCCTGGCCAGTGATCTGAGGACCTACTGGCAGTGACACCAGGCAGGAGTGACCTACAGCTTTAGCCATAAAGGAAAGAGTGACCGCTGCGCAGGAATTCTGGTTAAGATAAAGGAGAATTTGAGAAAATAAATGTTTTTAATTTCAAAGAAAATTAAAAAGGAAAAAACTGAAAGATAAAATTTGCAAGGCAAACAAGAGTATCTGAAAATGCCTAGAAAATCAGGGCACTTCTGACCTTCTTAGAAGTTTGGATCTCATGATTAGAATCTTGCTTTTAGTTAAGAGCACTTTAAATATTGTGAGCACAACATCAAAGCCCTGGCCAGAAGTGAGAGCCAAAATCTAATCAGAATCTCTAAGAACTTTAATCCATCTGGAGAGGAAAATTAAGAAGAATGAACAAAAGAAAGAGAAAAGTCCATCATTATCTAAAAGAGCATAAGATCTACACAGAAAAGTAATTATCTTCAGAGCCAAAGAAATAATAAATGCCAGACAAGTCACATAGCAGTGTTTGGTGAAGTTTCAGATTTCACTGGACAGATGGAGAAGTTACTGAGGGGAATGAGGGGGAGGTTTTGCTTTTAAAGAACACACAGCAGACTCCTTTCAGGAAGAAGGTGCATGGATCGGGAGGAGACTCAGCAAGATGATAAATCTGGCCTTCCCAGGAGCCAGCCTCTGCCAAGGGGATCAGGTAGAGAAATATTTAACTTTGGAGCTTAATGTAAGTTTTAAAAATTTTATAATACTCATACCTAGTATAACTCTTAGAACCAAAGAAACTTTTGAAAACTTTCTCTGCAGTCTCACTTTGACACTGTCTTTTTTCTCGAGACAGGGTCTCACCAAGTTGCCTGGTCTTTGGAATCCAGGCGCACACCACCACACCCAGCGACACTGTCTAGAGCTCAGGAGTCTCTGGATGCTTTGCATTCACAGTTTCACATGGGAGTTTATAACAGAAGGAAAATTAGTCGTGTAAATCAAATAGTGGTCTCTCAGGTCTCAGCGGCTCAGAACCCACAGATAAGGCTTATGTTTTACCCAACTACTGATACCCAAATATTCATTTTGTCATGGTGCTTACTCAATATATCACTGTCAAAGAACCCTGGGGTCCTGCCTGGCGGGCAGAATTTTCCCTCTTGCAATAAACACAGCGACGCATTGATAATGTGTTAGGCAATGCATCCTCCTGCAAGGGTAAGACCTGCTTCCTACCCGCCAAGTATTTACGGATGAAGTCATTCCAGGGTTGAGCAACACTCTGGACACAACCGTTTAGCTACCAGAGCTTATGTAGAAATATGAAGCTTCACTTTTACCTTCTTTTCTTTTCTAATAACAGTTTGAAGGTGGAGATTAATTCGAGATAAGAGGTGGGAGTCACGTAGTTGTATCTCTGGAGCTCAGTATAGAAGGATGTTGACAGATTGATGGTCGAAGTGTGGAAGCTCTTACACATGTCGATGCAGCCGTTCCGGATTTCCACGGACATTTCGATGTCTTCCAAGAAGCGGGAGGCAACTGCATGCAGCGCGTCTTCAGGCCACGACTGCAGCGAAGAAAAGCACGTTAGTGCCTCACCAGGGTTACACATTTGCACGCTCAGGGCTGGACGTCAGGGGCCAGCACATGTCACACGCGCTGTGCATGGTTTGCTCCGGGATTAGGGAAATGGGCCAGCAATGTCTATTTCTGTGAGCATTTTACTGGTATTATCTCAGTTCTCCCCACAATTCTTGGGGCAAATATTAGCCTTTCTTCCTCCTAAATGCTGAATCATATAAATAACCATCTTGTTGATTTTTCTGGGGAATTTGTGGACATCTTAAACTCAAGAAGCCCAAATCACGATTCCTGTTTCTCCCTTCATAGGTACAGTCTCCCCAACTCGGAAAATAGCACCACATTCCCCAGGAAACAGGGACTGTCCTCCATCTCTCTCTGCTTCCTCAGCCCTACATTCCTTCATAAACAGGTGGTGCCGTCAGCTCTAAAATAGCTTCCAAATCCTTCTCCATCCTTCTGTAATTTCCACAATGTCCTGCCTCAGGCCTCTCTGTCATCATCCTGGGATATCCCACCAGTGGCAGGCGGGTTTCACACTCTGCACAGCTGCAAGAGAGTCAGCTCACAGGACACGTCCCTACTCACCACCCTGCGAAGTGCTTCGCCTACGTAGGATAAAATCCAAACAGCTTGCACGTTTGCTTACACTGACCCGGCCTATCCACCCGGCCTCAGCGGTACACTCCTCAGCTACTGTGCCTGGATCTCCTTGGTACTGGCACTTCTGTCTCTCAAGTTTCCTCCTAAAGATTACCTATTCAGAAAGCCTTTCATCCCTCCATGCTACCCAGTAGAATGAAATTACTTTTTTCTTAATTTGAAAGTAAGCTCAAGGACAGCAGAGAAGGTGTTTATTCTATTTGGCTTTTCTTCTCCAACTTTTAACAATAAGGCCTGCTACTTAGCAAGAAAGAGTTCAATAAATAGGTTTTTTATGAAATAATTTGACCAGAATGCAGAGGTTTGGAGAGACAACACACATTTCTCAAGGTTCTTAATGCTTATGTGTTAAATCCCACTCCCAGGATCTGGGCCTTAGCCCACAAAATTCCCACTAAAATGTGGAGAATGCCTTCTGATACATCGTTAGAGCCAGAGGGAGCACTAAACTACTGTGCAGTGAGCTCCAAATGGGTCTTCTCTGCCACCCTCAGCATCTGGCCTCTTTCTTTATCTGTTCAAGTTGGTGCGAGAGTTTACTACAGAAAATGTCCCTCTGGCTTTTTAGAGTTGTGTTAGGTTTGGCTACTAGAGACTAGAGGAAGAAGGAAGCAGCAGGCGGAGGCAGAGCAGGTGGCCTGGGCTTTGGTTTCAGCTGAGCAGTCCTCTTTCCACAGCTCCCTGCACCCCGTGAGATCCGGTAACGTGGTCTCCTTGCTGCCCTTCCATACCCAGCTGTAGTATCGGCCTCCTGCTGCTGTCCACCCCTTCCTGAGTCTCCCGCACCCCTTCTTAGTTGCCTTAACCCAGCCCCCACCTCTGCAAACAGTCCAAATCCTCAAATACATTCTGCTTTCAGGACACTGCTTGATATACACAATTCTAAAACTTCCTATACTAAAAAAACCTTTCTACAATATAATTGCATTCATAACTACATATGCTCAAATATTTTTATACTATATGATTTTTATAACTGCAGTTACATAAAATGCATAATGACAGATCTGAAAGTAGGTCAAACTACGACTTTGGGAGGAGGCTGTAAACAAGTCAAATAACCGCGACTAAACACCTGTGGACATCTGCCTGAGTTACACGGTGCTACCTGAAACCAGTCGATGGTGCAGCAGTTGACAAGGGCAGGGAACTTCCTGAGGCGGTTCCGGAAGGCGTCTCCGATGGGGCTCATGGCCAGCACCACGTGCAGCTGGTTGCGGCAGCGGTCGATGAACATGTTGAAAAGCGCCACGGGGCTCCCGTCGGTCTGCTTGGTTTTGTCCCGCTGGCGATCTAACTGCCGCATCTTCTCACAGATCTCTTGCTTCTCGTCTAAGGCGAAGAGGTTTGGAACCTCCCCGGCGTTCAGCAGGTTGTTCACGTCCTCTAGGAAGGTCTCTTGCTTAATCTGGGTGTCTGTGAACAGGAAGACGCCCTGCATGTCGCCCTCTGCACACTTCCGTAAGATCGCTTTTAGGTCTTCCCGCCACTCGTTGTTGCCGTAGCCCTTGGAGATCTCCACGTGGAAAACGGCATAGTCGCACATGTGGGCGGCCAGCCGGGTGACCGACTGCCTCCCACTGCCCCCCACACCCACCAGCAGGGCGTGGCTGCGGGGCTGCTTCAGGATGCGGGAGATCCTGCTGATGTGCTCGATGGCGAACCGGAATAGGACGAGGTTCATGGGCTTCTTGCTCATGTTGTTGTACTCCTCCAGGTGGGCCTCCACCGTCAGCCGCAGGGCGTCCACGTTCGCCACCTCCCTGTAGTTGGTGTCTTCCCGCTTGGGGTCGTGGAAATCACAGAACATTAAGCTCCTCAAGTCATCTTCTTGGACCACGCCGTCACCATCAAAATCCAAATGTTTAAAGAGCTCATGGAAATCTTCATACATGCGGCTTTTCAAAATTTCTTGAATGTAGCTGACAAGCCAATTTCTGTCTGAATTATCCAGCAGGCGATCGTAGTACACCCGAAGGACCTGGATAGTTTCAAAAAGTTATTTTAGGGATGAATGAAAGTTACGAAATAACAACACTGTCAGAAGATGTCTATAGGTTTGGTTAAAAGCTCAGTCAAACAGTCAAGACTGGCTTGAATTAAGTTCATTTTAAATATCAATTTTGACCACACCGACTTGGAATAATAAATAGTCACATTTACCCATCAGCTAAAAAAAGATCACTGAGGTCACATAGATACGAGGAAAATGGGGGCTACAAGAAGGCCAGGGACCACTTCTGCTTGTCACTTGGATGTGGTCACAGAGCTGGACACCGGTGTCCAGGGGTTGCCGCCTCATTCCTGATGACAACCCATCTATAATGGTAAATCAGTAGATGTGATTTGTTTTAAGTACATTTTCTAGTAAAAAAGGAGCTGTCTTGGATTAAGGGGGAGTTGTTTCTCTGTGTGTTAATTACTTTTGCTGGAAATCCTTGCCGAGGGTAATCTACCACATGAAGTGTCCGTTAGGTGCACATATTGGGACGGCAGAGTACCCAGGCTTGCTCCATACTGGGACTACTTCCTCAGAGTGGTACCAGCATGCCAGGCTTACACTCTGGATTGAACTGTGCCCCCATCTCCAAATTCATACAAAATGTGAATTTAAAAAACAGTGAGTGCTTACATTTTTAAAAGGTCACAATAAAGGGACCCCCTCACTTGAAGCACACTCAGCCCGTCACTCCTACCATTTTCTGAAGCAGTTCTGGAGTCCTCTTTCATGAGCACCTTTAGTTGTGCAATCACAGCTGCTTTAATGTCCAGAGCTGATTCCAAACGTTGACCTTTCACAATCATGATCATTTTCTCTGTGGGGAGGAGCCCGAGGCCCACAGTGCCAGACGCAATGACTAGGGAGGATGAGGATGCGCCATAAATGTTTTTACAGCCTGCCTGGGCTTCAGACAGCGCTTGGCAGCAGCAGTCCCTGAATTTCTGATCAGCCCTCATAAAGACAACTCACCAAAGAAGATGCCAGAACTGCTTCCGAAACTGGCGAGGAAGAGGGATTGGTGTGTCGGAAGCAAGGGGCAGCGTTCCGAGCAGGATTACCGGCCACGTGTCTTTTACTGTAATACTTTTCATTTAAACACTCAGCCCGTATTTTGGTCACACCTCGTGTGCTGAAGTCCTGACCTTCAATCTGACCCTGACGGTATTTGGAGAGAGTGTCCTTGGGCTGGTGATGAAGAAGTGACATCAGAGACTGGCCCCTGGTGTGACAGCACTAGTGTCTCCAGCACGCGCTCTCTTTGAGCCCCCTTTCCTCTCTGCCTCTCACAAACACTGATGCCACCTTGAGTTTTGACTTTTGATGTCCAGAATGGTGAGAAAATGAATCTCGACAGTTAAGGCCGGGCCTCAGCATTCTGTCCTGACTTTCCAAGCAGACAAATCCTCATGTGATACAGCAGTGCAGGCCTTGGTCAGCAAGACGGCGCGTCCTGACTGGGAATTTGGGAAAATCGCTCAGACTGTTTGCATCAGCTGTCGCCTAGCAAGTGGCAGTGAAAATATCTACTTTGCGAATCTCATAGGTTTGTGCCAAAACGCTTTAGAACCAAAATGTGCGATCATGGTAAACCACCCTGGTGTCAGGCTGACGGTACTGCCGCAGAATCATGGTTTAGCCGACACATCACTGGTTTAATATCACTGTTCCTTTCCTAACAATGGTGGCTGAAAAGGCAAACGGTGTGACCTAACGCTCTTGCAAACCTCAGCCAGGTCAACAGCTGTTTATGGGACAATCTAGTTTCCAATCTGAGCCAACGGCCACTGATTTGGACGGAGGTGGGGAAGACTTCAGACAGCACTCCCATGAGAAGGGGATGGAACGAAGCCAAGCCTGCATAATCAGGATCATTACCTGACATGGATCTAGACTGTTTCTATCTCAGGGTGAGCTCGCAAGACCCTCAGGCAGAGTGTCTCAGAGATGGTCATCATGCCTGCGGAGGGTCATCCGAGGCACTTCCTGAAATGAGACCCCAGGCCCCTGGTGGGCTCACTACCAGAGACAGTGCCCGGGATGCCAGGGCTTCCCTGCTCCTTAAGCCTGCCTCCTTTTCCTTACATGAGGTGCACACTCTCAAGGCTGTGATTCCAGGAGGTTTCGCACATTTGTGACCCTCGTTAGCACCACGGGCGTGGAGCTACTGAAGGTTCCCCGCACCTCTGCAGCCCCCGCCTGTTCACATCCTGTGTTCCCGACCCTCCCTCACCCACAGGGACCAGCTCTCTATCACTACTGCCCATGTTTTAGGTTTTTATTCTTTTGTTTTTTTCTTTCTTTCTTTTTTATCGGTACTAGGGATCAAACTCATGACTGCCTGCTTGCAAGGCAGGCGCTTATGCCGCTGGGCTAAATCCCCAGCCCCGGTTTTCATTCTTTTTGACACAGGGTCTCACTATGTAACCCATGCTGGCCTTGCATTGTCAGTGATCCTCCTGCCTCAGCCCCGAGTTCTGGGATCACAGGTGTGCACCACCAGGTCTGACACTTTACACATTTTTAAAAGTTAACATGTAAAACTTCCTACTGTAAATCTAGATATCTACCAAGGATGTAATTTCTGCTACCCTTATATTATAATTTATGCTTTTAGTTTCATGTCGAGTTATTAACTGCAGATTTTTAAACTAAAGGTAAAATTTGTCTCATATAAAATTTGTCCTTTTATTTTCAGCGTTGGAGATCAAATCTGGGCCTGGTACATGCTTGGTAAATATATCCTTGGGCCAAAATTCACTCTTAATGTGTATGCTTCAGCCAGACATGGTATTGCACTCCTGTAATCTGAGCATTTAGGAGGCTGAGGCAGGAGGATCATTGCAAGTTTGAGACCAGCCTGGCTACAAAGTGAGCCCAAGGCCAGCCTGAATTGCATAGTGAGACCCTGTCTCAAAAAGACAAAAATAAAATAAAGTGTATGCTTTAATGACTTTTAGAACAGTCACAAAATTGTGGCACTGTCAATCATGATCTAATTCCAGCACTTTCCATCACTCCCAGACATCCTCATGACCCCCTCCCGCCAGCCCTAGTAACACGCTCCTTCTGGACTTCCATACATGTGGGACCACACGTGATTTCTTTTAGCAAAGCGCCCCCAGGTTCGTCTATGACAGAGGACACATCACACCCCATATTTGGGCTGACAAGCTCTGCGGTGTGTTCCTGCAACCCTCATCTCTGCTCCTGTCCATCATCCCCTCTCCTGTCCCCTTCACCAGCTGGCACGGTGGGCTTCATGCCGGCATCCCACTGGCCTTCACGACATCGAACAGCCTCATGCATCCTAACAAAGTGAACTGCTGAATCCTTCTTTTGCCCTAGTCGTTGGTACCGTAAATGTCTGTTCTCTGCATCATCACACTGCAATAACGGGGACTGTTACCTCGTGAACCCACAGGCGCTTCATCACGTCCTTGGTCTCCGCCGTCTCCGGTCTGGACAGGCACACCCCCTGAATGACGCGGGAGAAATCCCGCAGGTTGAACAGATAGTGAGATTTGGCGGGCGTGGGCAAGAGGTTCTTCATGGCATCTTTATATAGCGTCATCGTGCCATTTACAATTTGTGTGGTCAGATCTAGAAATTCATCTGGAAATTTATAACTAAAGAAAAAATTAGAAATGCGGAATTATATTACATAAATGATACACAGTGTGACCAAACCGATGGCTAAATCAACCAAACTGATGTACAAACGTCTCATTTCTTGTTGAAATGATAGATTCTGACTGCTGCAGAAGCTGCTCCCCACTTGAGGCCTTGGGCCGAGCCGAGGGCCCTGTGGACTGAGCAGGATTGGTCCAGAGAATCCAAACCCACTCAAACCAGGACCAGACGCACCAGCCCACGCATGCATCCCTGAACCTAAACCCAGAGTCCATGAGCACTTCCCAGCTCTTCCACCCAGCTGTCTACACATAAAATCAATTAAAGAACACTGGAGAAGTGGGTATTTTCAAGGAAAAAGAAAAAAATCAAATTACATCACATTAAGCTGGTGGTGCATGTCTGTCTTCCCAGCACTCAGGAGGCTGAGGCAGGAGGATCGTTGTAAGTTCAAGACCAGCCAGGGCTACAAAGTGAGCTCAAGGTGAGCCTGAAGTGCATAGTGAGACCCTGTCTCAAAAAGCCACACTCATTAAAAAAATTACATCACACAGCAGAAAAAGAGAAAGAGGAGTGAAAGTGTGGGGCAGGGGGGGAGGGTGAGGGGTGCTGGGGTGGAGAGACAAGGAGAGAACATCCCGGGAAGGCTGGCTGTGCCTAGCGTCTAGCCTGACGGGCGTCAGTGTGCACAGGGCAGGGTAGGGGATGGGGTTCTCCTGAGCTGGGAGGAGCTCCGGGGTCACCCTGCTCAGGTCGGGCCTGGTCACCCTCAGCTCTCAGAGCACGGCTCCTGGAGGACGCCAAGGTCGTGTGTGGACTTGTCACCACTCCCCAGCAGTGACTGCTCAGTCACTGTGTGCTCCGCTCCACACCGGCAGGGGAGGTGGGGAGGAGACATGGCGGTGGTTCCCTCTCCCTGGCTGGGGACACCTTCCAGGAATCCGACCCTGGGAGACCGCTCATGTGAACATGGTTCCAAGAGACTTTACCCCTTGCAACAGAAAAGCTCGCAGACCTGAGTGACTCACCAGATCTGTAAGTGCCAGTTCAGGATCCTGGAGAAGATGGCAAACATGGACTTGTCGCTGAATTCATTGATGGTTATGATATTGAAATGTCTCATGTACCGAGGGGTTACTGGGTTCCGGCCACCGCCTAAGCATTAGAAAGGATGACCCGTAAGGTGTGGTCAGAATGGGCCAGTGCAATAGCGCTAATCCCTTACTGCCTTTAAAAGAGTTTGAGAGAAGTTAAAAATCACGACACACAGAGTTCAAAGCGACCAACTGTCTGATGTCAAAACTACTTTCTCCTCAAACTCAAAATGTGGCTTTTCCTGCTTGCATTGTCTGAATGAACTCAACTAACTGGACATAATAATTTTTTACAAGGATAATTTTGTTTCTGGAGTCAAACCTATGTTGGGAAGACCTTACATATTTATTATTTATTCTGGTACCAGGAATCAAACTCATAACCTCGAGCTTGCCAGGCAGGCTCTGTGTAATGGACATAATCTTGAGTAAGGTTTATGTTGACGAAGGAGATCACACCGCACAGAAAGAGGCCCTGCCCATGGTTAGTATAGAGATGAGGCCTCACACAGCGTTACCATAACCTGCCTGACCCTTAGTATCCTCCCGCGTCATTGAGGTTCACCCTGACACTGGAGGATCACTTCGATTTCCTCCACTGTGGGCGTGACTTGAGCCTCATTCCCCCAGCACCAGTCTCTACAGTAAATTCAGCTACTTTGCTGGTTGCCCGCAGTTTTCAAAATTGGGGGATCATCTCATTTTCATAAATTTGTTTTCGAATATGAGGCTTTAGGTAAGCAAGCAAAAATGTAACATATTTTAAGAGACATCGTCTTCAAAGTGTACAAGGCTGGGACCATAGCTCAGTGTACTCAGCATGTGCTTTACATGCACCAAAAACAAAATTAAAAATATAATAAAATATAACATATGGACATATGATGATCATCTTTTAAAGGAGATTCTATTGTGAAACCTTTGGTAAAAAGGGCTTCAGGAGTGTGTGGGATCTTTAGTACATATTTTGTAAAACGATACAGGTGCATGTTCGATGTTTAAAGGCAGATGACTGTAGTTTGTTTCTGTCACTGAATCGTACCATCCCATTTCTGAAAATACACAGAGTGTGTGGCAGCCAATCCTTGCACCTAGGAGTCACGGGCTCAGCCCATCAAACCAGCCACAGGTGTCTGTGACTTTGTAAGCTGAGGTTCAGCATTGATTCACCTGGACGGTTGGAAAGGTGCTGAGAGCTGGGGACAGAATGCTGAGAGGTCACCCTCCCCAGTCCCTCTCCACTGCCTCCTCCTGGAGGACGTTCGGGGTAGTGGCTCTTCTAGAAAATGAGTCTCAGGGGACGGCCGCCCAGCGATGTGGTCTGTTCTCCTGTCCAGCGCCCGAGCAGGGAGAAGTGGGCATGGGAGTAACAGTGACTGGCTGGGGCAGAGCTCCTGCAGCCTGGGAGCCACTTAACCTTTTATTTAGAAAAAGAAAAAGGAAATAAAGAAGGTCAAGATGGACCAGGGAGAGTGTGAGGACAATTACTGACCAGGGGCAAACTGTCCATGTGAAAGGTCAACTGAAGGTCAGGGTTTGGGGACAAGTACCAGGGGGACCCCTGCAGTACAGCATGTTCAGAGAAGAAAAATGTTAAAGTAGAATACAGACGTTCAAACTTAAAGTGTACCACTCGGAGTTCCGATCCTCTTTTTTGTTGTACAGTTTATAGAGCCTCACTGTCTTTTTTTGGGTACACTTGAGTATACAGTGCTGCGATTTCTGCTGACTGTACCACACTGCCTTGTAGATTTATGTTCTGTTCTGCATCACAGCGCTGCAGGTAGGAGTGAAGCAGACAGAGGCAAAGCCAGCGACTCGGAGTCTCTCTGACCGTGTCTCTGTTCCGACTGTGTAATGTACACACCCATGCACACTTGCTGGCTTAGTGACCAGTCCTCCTCCCGGCCTGGTCACAGGTGCTCACTCAGTCACCAGGTGAGGGAGTCTGCACCGACTTGAGGTCAGGACGAGAAGGGCTCAAGAGCTCTGCGTCCTTGAGTCACGTCACTTTAGACATCAGCAGAAGGCTTTTAGCCCCCCTGAAGTGTCCTCTGAATCTATACACTTCTCAGTGGACAAGGAGGAGGATATTTAAGGGCTCTTTTTGCCATTTCTCTCATGGAGTGCCTTAGCAGCCAGTCTAAACTCAGGGCCAGACGGCAATGGGACTTAATGGACCTGGATGGGGAGAGGGGTCTCTGAAACCAGGTTACTCTACACGGTTGAAGCTTTAAACCAAAGGAGAAGAGCCGCCCTGGGGTGATGGAGGTATCTGGGTTCTTGGAATGCAGGGGTGGGAAACAGCAAGCCACTTCCCGAAAGTGGGAGAGAACGGGTTAGGAAATGATCCAACCAGGGCCGCCCCCTTCACAGAGTCACCACTGTGATGCGTGAGGTCGGGGGGCACATAGTAAACGTGCACACACTAAACACAGCGACTCAGGGTCCAGTGAGGTTTCTCTTCTCCCAGTTACGTATTTAGAGACAGTCAGAGTGATCTTCTATCTTAAAAGTCACAGACTCAGAGCACGCACCTGGAGGCCCCATGGCACACATGATCTGAATGTCCACCAGTTTGATCACAGAGCAGTCTTTGAGGTCGTACCAATTCCAATGGTCCAGCCACTGCCTGAGTAGCTCGATGGGAGGCTGGGCCCCGTAGACCTCCCGAGCGGGCATGTTGACATCATCCACGAACACAACCTGAAACAAAAGGCAGCAGGTGCTGGAAACGTCCACGCCTCGATACAGCCTCCCACGACGAGTCAAACTATCACATTATTTTCTTTTAGCAGAGTATGTACATGGGAAGCAATAGTTTATTTTTCAAGCAAGAATAATATATATTTAGCTTTCATGGACTGGGGAGAAATTTTTCCTATTTCTTGTCCTCTAGGAATAGGAAGACCTCATTACTGATCTTTCTAGGTTACTAGTTTAGGTCTTTTTAATCCTTTTATAGGGGTTCTCAATATACCGCATCTCTTTTTCCTTGTATAATACTGAAATTCACAGAAATGGTGTCTGTAGATAACTGCATCCTTTGAAGTGAGAACTGCATACTTCAAGGAGCAATAGAGATTAAGTGATCTTGTAGCTGAGTTTAAAGGTTAGAAGAGCAACCAGTAAAGATTCTGTTGGGAAAATATGTCAGCAAAAGAGTTAGAAGGATAAATAATACCCCAAAGGAATGATCTACTTTTAATTCAGTGAGTGACTGCTGGTTTTTAACACCTAGGCATCTAGGCAAGCTGGTTACAGGGGTACACATTTATAATTCCAGCTGCTCAAGAGACTATGGCAGCAGGATTGCAAGTCTGAGGTCAGCTGGACAACACAGCAATACCGTGTTTCCAAAAGCACATCCAGTGCACAGAGAACTATAATCAGTGCTGTGGTTTAGATCAAAACTGTGCCCTCACTGTGTGCAGAGATGGGCTAGAAGAAAATGCTAGATCATTGTGGTTCTCTACTGACCCATGGATTATCCTGTTGGTTAGTTTGTAGTTGAGTGTGCTGCTAAGTGACTGGGCCTGATCAGAAGAGGTGGGTGACTGCTATGTGAGCGGGAAGGGCATATTCAGGTCCTTACCTCCTCCCTTTCCCTCTACTTCCTGGATGCCACGGGTTGAGTAACTTCCCTCTGCCAAGCCCTTCACCATGTTGTTTCTGCCTTGGAGCCAACAGACCATGGACTGAACCTACGAACCATGTGCCAAACAACTCGCTCCTCCCAATAAGCTTTAAGCATTGTGTATTTTGTCTCAGTGCTGAGAGTGGAATAATACTACCAGTTGTAGTAAATTTTTAATAAAAACTTGTGATAAACAAAACAAAAAATCCAGTCTCAGTGTGTTTGGTTTCCTTGTTCTAAGGGTAGTAGTGAACGTGCATAGGGCCAGTGTTTTATTACTGATATAGAAGAAGAAAACTATTACCATTATCTTGCCCAGAGGAGGACCGAACACTCCCTTTCTCCTTTTGTCCAGTTTTGACATAATAATATTCTGGGTTTGAGCTGCTGTAGTTTGTGCTGAGAAGTTGATGATCAGAGGTTTGTAGACTTCCTTATGGAGTTGATTTAAAAGAAAATTCTATATAAAAAGAAACAACAAATCAGAGCTGAAATGGTTTTGACATTTCAGAATAAACAGTAAACATCACTGGTGACAAAAACCTCAGATTCAGCCTTTCATGTCATGACATTGCAAAGAGATGGAATCTAAGGAGTGTCTTTCCACTTAAACACCAAGTTACCTTTCCGTAAGTTAGAAGACTTAAATTTATGTAATGGAATTTCAAAATGGAATTCAGTGAAAGCAGATAGCGTTCCAGCCATTCATAATGAGGATGTGTGTCGGGGAATCTCCCCAGGAGCTTTTCAAATACTCTTGCTTCTCCTCACCTAACCCTCTCTCTGTCCCTCAGGAGTTCCCATGAGGGCACATTCCTTCCCTAAGACAGGCCAGCTGGCGAGAAAATCTCGAGCAGATCACAAGTTCTTAATGAGTACTACCCACCATGCACACACATGGATAACAGAGCACAGGTGGAGCGCTTTTTGCCTTTCCAAACCTTCTGCCCAATAACTGCTTCCAGAATTCACTTTTATTGTTTAGAAGATACTGCATTGCTAACCCTAAATATCAGGTGGTCAAACAGTTCAAGTAATTTCCCTTTCCATAACACCATTATGCACGGAACATTATCATAATCGAGCAAGTGAAAGCACACTTGGAAATATTAACTCATTTATCAAGGGGACACTTTTTTCTTGGTATGGGGATCAAACGCGCCACCTTGGGCTTATCAGGCAAGCACTTGAGCCACTGAGCTAAATCCCTGGCCCACATTTTGTTGTTGTTGTTGTTATTTTTTGGTATCAAGGATCAAACTCGTGACCTCATGCTTGCCAGGCAGACACTTATACCACTGAACTAAATCCCCGCCCCCAGCCCACATTTTTAAAAAGGAACATGCATGGTGTTGCTGTTAATAACCGCACACAGTGCCCATGTCAGGAATCCCCAGAGGCAGAACAAGAGAAGCAGGAAGGAGTCACAGGCCGCAGAATTAGGGGTAGCTTTCAAGTCTTCCGCCAGCCCATGAGAGCTGTTTTGAAAATTTTATTTTCTTTTAAATAAAAGGAGCACACTGTAAAATGTGCTCTCTTGAAAATCACCTTTCAGGAGTTTTGTTCACATCTATAAGTACAAAAAAGGAAAAGCAAAGTGCAAAATAAGGACAGAGATATACTTTCATGACTTTTATGATTTAAATAACTATTTTCATGACTACCAAATTTGAATGCAAGCAAGACACGTGTTTGCTGGATGAATGGACAGACAGACAATGGACAGACAGACGGATGGTTGGATGGGTGGATGGATGGGTGGATGGATGGATGGTTGGATGGATGGGTGGATGGGTGGATGGGTGGGTGGATGGGTGGATGGATGGATGGGTGGGTGGATGGATGGATGGGTGGATGGGTGGATGGATCAATGGATGGATGGTTGGTTGGAAGGATAAACAAAACAAGAATGAAAATGAGTCTTTGCACTTGCATAAGTGTTGGCATAGAAAGTTTGGCAGTGAGCATAGAGACCTTTAAAATCAGAACTAAATCTAACTATGGTGTATAAATGGCTATAGAACCAAATCTTGGGGTAATTAATATTTAAAACTAATAAGAGCTGAAACGTAATATTAAAAGTTATTAGCAATAAAATAATGAAATTGGTGGTAAAAAGAACAGGGGATGCCATAGCAGTATCACACCCTCCTACATCTAAGTAGGAGGAAAGTGGGTCACAGGATGGAGACTGTCACTCACACCCCAATAACTTTAAAACCAAATTTACAGAAGATTATAGTCCGGAGAAAACTGCTTTAAAGTAGATTTAAATAATGCTAATAGAATTTTGAATACTTTACACAACCTAGTAAGTCACCAGGGAGAAAATAACACAATATCATATGAATAGATTAAAGAAACATTAAAAACTAAACAAAACTATAAATACAGAAGTATGACTCTTCATGACAATTTACCTGAGATAAATCTTCATAAACGATGCAGATTAACACACAAATACAAAATGCAGCTACATGTTGAGTCTTTTAACATGCAGACATACTTAAAGTACAAAGGATAGGCAGAAATAGATCATATGAATAATAAAACCAAAAGAAAGCAAAAAGAATGTAATTAAACAAGACAACAAATACACTATCATTCGGTGTACTGATCATGTCATATATGTTATAAGACCATTATCAAGTGTTTCCCTAAAGTCAAAGTTGACAAAAATTGATTAAAGATTAATAAAGAAGTACATTTTTATGATTCCTCAAAATTACATAAAATATCATGTTTTCATAGGCTACCATCAGGTAAACTTTATTCTTTAATTTAAATGAAATATCAGTATCTCTTATAATTCTCCCAAGAATAAATTCCACTTGGCCCATTAAAAAACTAAATGTTTTTTATTTTAACATATAACACTCTGAAAATTAAGTATATGCCTATAAAAACTATATGTTTTACAAATTTCCTGGCCAATTTATATGAGTTAATTAAAATTATTCTATGAAAACTATGTAGTTTTATGCAGAAGGGAAAATATTCAAATGTGAACAGAGTTGATATTTAAATGAGAAACAAAATGAATACTAAATTCTTTATTTTGTGGCAGCTATTTTAGTAACCCAATGACAACAATATGGTCCCCATCACAAGATTTTAACCTCTTCAACATATTGGTCTTAAGAAGGTGTCTTGTAAAGTTCTCTAAAGTGTCATTGGCATTCACTGCATTTTTATGTCATCTCTAGAGAGCTATTTATTTTTCACTGTTTATTAAAAAATATATATATCTAGACATTCACTAGTTTGAAGAGAAAACCACTTTAAATACTAACATTCCTCTTTAATGACTGAATTCAATGAGGTAAAACGTAAGTACATACAGGTAGCATCTGACATGAATTGTTCCTTCATACAATTACTTTTTAAAAATGAAACTGTCTCAGCATAGATTTTATTTCACTGAAGAAGAAACGTTTGGCCTTCAGCCTCAAAACTGTGCTGTTCAAAACCCAACGAAGTCTTAATCAATTGGGGCATCCAAATTCCACTTAAGGTCTTCTGTCAGTAGAATTTTGCTTAATACTTAAAAACCAACAATTTTAGTTCTAGAAATCCAGGAACTGCTCCTCAGTAAATAAAAAGGGATGAGAGCAAAGATTCAACTACAAAGAAAGTTCACTGCATCTTATATTGAAGGCAGAATACCGGAAAAGTTAGGAACTTGAAAAAATCATCAGAAAACAGTGATGTTCTTTAAATCATCTTGTAAAATAATAACAAAACAAGAGAACATTTACAGTATATAATGAAGCAGGAAAATGTTTAAAATTTAAGTGAAAAGAGAAAAGCAGGTTACAAATCGAGTTACCAATTTTGTGAAAAGTAGCGTTTTTAGCCGGGCGCTTTGCTACCTGCCTGCATCGGATGAAGATACAAAACACCGAAGCTGTATTTTCCTCCAGGGAAGGCCCTGAATCATGTCACCTCTCCACACTGGCTAGATAACATGGCTAAACCCCTCAGCTTCCTGCATTTTCAATCTCTTTTGATGGTGCACGCCTAATCCCAACACTCTGAAGGCTGAGGCAGGAGAATCACAGAGTTCAAGGCCAGATTGGGCTACATAGTGAGGTCAGGCCAGCCTGAACAAAGACTTTATCTCAAAAGAGAAAAGAAGAGAAAACACAGGCCACGCTGACACTTGAATGCCTCTCTCCTCCACCTGCTCAGATCTTTCCTGATACATCGAAGCGTGCGGTCAGTGATGAGAGCATGGTTTCATGATTTCGTGAGTGAGATGATTCAGCAAGGAAACAGTACCTGGACAATTATTTAACCATTTATCTAAAGGTCTTATGGAAGTATTAAATAATTAAATTTTAAAGATAAAATTAATAAAGAACTAGGAAGCACTATCATAAACTGGGGGAACACAGATGGCTGTGAGGCTGGGTGAGAGACGGGCGATGCCAGTGGTCCCCTCACCCTGGCCTGGACAGTGCCCCTGTCACTGCCATGAGATCTCAGTCACCAACCAGTGTGGCTCCAAGGATCACAGAGAAAAGCCAGCTTTTCACTCACAGTAATCGTCTAGAGAGAAAAATAACTCGGAAAATTAAATATCGAATGCAGTGAACTAAGACACTTTTATAGGGTGTAACTTTCACCCTGAACGAGCTTCTCTTGTTAAAATACAGACACACATGGGACAGTAATTTAACGACATTGAATGACATTGTCATCTGACAGCGGCTGCCTATGTGATAAATGCAGCACAGGACAGATGTGAAACAGTTTGGGCACAATGTCTGTAATCAGTTTTCCAAAGGTAGACAATTGCCCCAAGATCTCTGTGGATCAAACAAAATACTCGAGTATTTCCTAAAAATTACCTAAGCCTGCTGGTTAAACAACAGCACCCTCAGGACTGTTCCGCACATTCCAACCTGGGGTTTCTGTCACACTCACAGTGATGTAGGAGCTCTTCCCCGTTCCCGTCGGCCCCACAAATATTGAAGGCTTCTGATGTGTAGTCAGCAGGTTCATCAGCACAGAGTATCGGACTGTGTCCAGGGTCGGCACGATGATCTCATTGAACAGCACATCTTTAGGGATCGGAGGGGCGTCTTCCAGTTTCTTTATCCATGGTTCCCACCGCCCCACTCCCTGTCGGGGTAAAAGCCCATAGGGAAGTTATGACACACCCTGCCCTTGGCATCACTGTAGGAAAGATCAGGCCCAACCCACACCCGTACTTAACAACAGTTTACAAGTTAAATTTTATGGGTAAACTAGGAGAATCTTGGCTCTCAGGTGAATAAAAATGGAATGACAATAAATGTTGCTATATTTTGACATCCTAAAACTACTGCTTATACCAACTCAATGATCAGTTATTGGGTTGATAAATATTACATTCTTCAATAGCATTGAGAAAACTGCACTAATCAATAGATTAAAAAGAATTTCATTTGATCCATGTTAATAGAAAATTTTATTATTTATTAACATGGATCAATTGCATATCACTTAACCTTTATAGGGATATTTATAGGATTAGCTTATCATTTCAGGCATGATTTATTTTTTAAAAATTATAATTGAAACACAAACACAGTGTACTCAATCGTTTTTAAGCATATGGCTCAACAATGTTAACTACATTTACACTGCATTGTTACAAATCTACAATGCAACTTCCGTAAGAACATGGGAGATAGATAGCAGCAGCTCCTGAGGCTCTCTGAGATACCCCACTTAAAATCCAGGAATGGTGTGGTACGAGGAATCCTAAGCAAGGGGAAATATACCCTGCTGACCCAGGAATGAACTAAGCTAAGAGAAACCAACTGGAAATCCAATCCTGGTGCTATAACAGGAACAGATAAAATCTCAGCACATAAGCTAGAACCCAAGCCACTGGAAGCCGTGATTAGAATTTCCTGCTGCCGCTGCTGCATCCAAATTTGCAAGGTAGGGAGAGAGACACGCGAAATCTCTGAGAGTGGGAATCTGCAAATGGAGTTGGGAGTGGGACTAGCAGGAAGCCCTACATCGACTTGCGGTGAGTGAGTGGAACAGGGACCCTTTCATAGAGTAGGGACTCCAGCAAAGGACATACTGGGACCGGGCAGACTTGCCGGAACAGGGCACTGCAGTGACATTAGTGGCATATTCCCCTCTCAAGCGGGATTGGTGGGGAGTGCCTGGCCTGCATGACACCACTGACTAAGACCCAGTAGGCTAGCCCAAACCAGGTCCCAGTGCCTGGAGGTGCACCCTAACAGTGAAGCCTTCCATAGGTTGACTGGAGGGGTGGGCCCAGCAGAGGCTGCCCAGGTCTGTGTCTCCCTAGTACACTGCAGTGAGCGGGAACACCTAGCCGGCACAATTCAAACAAACTATAATGGAAAAAGAGAAAAAAATTGGGCCTCCTGCATTCGCTTGTATATAAGGAACAAAAAGTATGGGAAGAGGAAGCAACAAGAAAGGGTCCTCAGTCCCCAATCCTGAGAACACTGATCCAGGAAAGGGAAATGCAAAGGAAGACAGAAAACATGCAATATCAGACACGGCACCAATAGACATAAAGCTATATCTCCAGAGCCTCATAGACGAGTTTAAAAATGAAGTATTTCATGAAATAAAGCAAGATATAAGTAGAACAGTTAGAGGAATGCTAAGCACCGCCCAAGAAAAAACAGATGGTGGAATGGAAGAACAGAAAAAAAGGGGAGAATTGTTTGATGGAGAAAATAGAGAAAACATAGAATACGTGAAGCAGGTTCAAGGAGATTACCAGGAAACTAAAAACTCTATTGAAAGCTGGCATAACAGCTTGAAAGAAACTAAGGATAGATTATCTGAATTGGAGGGCAGATTTGTAATATGGGAGCATGAAATGAAAAACTTCTTCAAAATAACAAAAAAACAAATAGCAATAATACAAAGGCTAGAAGATAAGAGGATCTATAACTTAAGAATTAAGAACATAAAAGAAGAAGTAGGGACACAACCAAATGGACTGCGAAAGCTATTCACAGAAATAATCCAGGAGAATTTCCCTAATTTAGCAAAAGGTAAAGATACTCAGATGTATGAGGCATACAGTACCCCAGCTACCTACAACCCAAACAGAGCTACACCCAGGCATATAATAATCAAAATTCCAGAAATCCAATATAAGAACAGAATATTAAAAGCCACCAGAGACAATAAACAGATCACTTACAAGGGAACACCTATCAGAATTACAGCAGAATTCTCAGCACAAACGATCAAATCATGAAGAGCGTGGGGGGAAATAATTCAAGCTTTGAAAGATAACAACCTCCAGCCAAGACTGATATATCCTGCACAATTGTCCCTAGAAATTGAGGGAAAAACAAGGTGCTTCCAGGATAAAGAGGAACTAGGGGAATTTGCAACCACCATTCAACTCTACAGAGAATACTGCAGGATATTCTAAAAAAGGAAAATACCAAGACTTCAGAAACAGTGGCAGAGAGGCCACAATGAATGGACCAGAAAGCGAAATGAAAAAGACAAACTGACAACAAACGACAGAAAAAGAGCTCAACAGAAACGAGGCAGAGAAGATCGGATGGTAGCTATTTTGGAGAAAACAAGACATCATAATAGCTAGTGCTGATTTAGTATCATCTTGTTTTAAAGCCCCATCAAGCTTTTATTCTTCTGTCTCCATCGGTCTTAACAGGTTGTATCTTATTGGATTTTATTATATATGATAATATAAGCAAAAACTTTTATAGACAAGGAGATTATACAGAAACCATTGTTCATTTTCTGATAGTTGGTTCTAAATACCCTATAATACTGTCATTCTTTTGAATGGTTTTACACTGTCTTGATACGTTTGGTGCTACAGTATACGAAGTTATACTCAAAGATTTCAAGGAAAGAGACACTATGGTAACTACTTTTATGTCAGGATATCTTGTGGTGAAACACTATTTTGCTTAAATGGTTATGCTTTGACCTGCGCTGTTTTGTTGTTATGCACTCTTTTATCTCAGTCTCTTTTTCTTTAATTATTTACTTTTTATTTTTATCTTTTTAATTTAGGGAAAAATTAAAAAAGCAGGACACATTATAGTAACCCACTTTGATTTCCTATCAACTTGATTTGAAACCCTGTATAGCCCTCACCAGCTTGCTTTGACTGATTTTCCCCTGTTCTGCTTTGCTTGATAGTACCAAGTTCAAAAGTATAGGCAACAACTGTAAAGACAATAAGATTCATTATGACGCCCATTCTGGTTGACTATTATCTTCTTTTAAAGCCCTGTAATGTCTCCAATGTTTTGGTTTTATTCTTTATTGTTTTGTTCAATTTTATCATAACTGATGATATAGGCAATTTCTTTTTAAGATAGCAAGAGGCAGTATGGGTAACCATGGTTGATCACCTAGTATTTTGTTTTTACATTATCTGTCTATCCTTTTGATTTGACTGACTCTGTTCTGTTATGTCACATTTGGTTTTACTCTCTTCAAAAAAAAAGTAACAAGAACTGTGGGAGTAACAAAACCCAAAATGTGTAATTGTCATTGTACAAAAGAAAGGAAAAGAAAGTGCTCTAAATGATATAACTGCATGTATATTTAAGTGTATAAGATAGATAACCATATTACTGAATTTTGTTGGATCATTGAACAAAACCAGTCTCACTGTTTGAATGTCCACTTTATATGCTTTAATTTTGTAACTTGAACAAATATTTCTAAGATAACAATATGTAATCTATTAACTAGTGATTTCCTACTGTTTGTTTTTTCTGAAATTCTGTATCACTTGTACCCTTTTTGTTTTTTTTTTCTTTTTCTCCTTAAATAAAAAAAATCTACAATGCAGTAAAATTTCCTAATTTGTGATTATTCTGGGTTAATGTACTGCTATATTTTTACATCCAATTCGCTTGTGAATGAGAATCTTAACTTTCTTGACTGTTGTCAAAATATGTTAATTTTCTCCCTAGGAAAGTGTCACTTTCCTAATGCAGTCTAAAATCTAAACTCCCACTCATTTAAAGCGCATCAGAACTCAGACTCATCCGTCCCTTACTTCACCCTACCCAAAACCATCCTCACCCCCAACCCCATGAACCCCACGTATTCCCAGCCCTGGGTGGGACCCGAGCACTCCCACGGCCCACGAAGCGGCGTGACTGTCCCTGAAGAGGACAAGAACTCACTGAGGGCAGAATTATCCTTTATTCACCGCGCGTCTCCCAGAGCACAGCTGTGTGTATAGTGGAAATATTTTTGAGGTGTTGAATTACTGCAGATTCTAGACCTGATGAAGAAAATCACAACTTCCCACATACTTGACAACCTTTTCAAACACGTACACCATCATAGGAGGAGGAGGGAATAAGAATCAGAAAACCTGCACTGGGGAGTCACTGAGAGACTGTGTGACCCCAGAACGCTCCCTGGAGACTTCTGAACCCCAATTCCCTTATCCACAAAAGAACCCTGTCCCTCCTGTTTCACTGAGGTATTGGGAAACAAAGTAAAAATAACTGTGGAAAGTGTAATAAACTGTAAAGTGCTCTAAAATGCAGGGTCCTGTTAGTAACTTGAAATAAAATTAGCCAAGATAAAGCGGTGATCTTTGTGCTGGGCAAAGTGAAGAATTCCTGAGCGCTGAGTGGTAACACCTTTTAAGAGCCATAAAATTAAAAACTCATTGCAGTAATGCATTTTCTAAAAATTTAACTTCATCCTGAGATGTATCCACCATGATATATGTCCAAGAACAGTCATCAAAGGAGGCTTCATGAAATTTACAGAAGAGACATTCATGGGATGGGAAGGTGTTTTCTTTATTAAGTGAAAAAGGAAGCTAAAAATTGTCCATTGACCACGTGGCATGATGCCAATTTTACCTAAATTTATACATTTGGAGTAATATGTACTCCTGAACTTTGTCCTCAGGACAATACCTGTGGGAGTTGTTACACAAAAACAAACAGACACAACCCGAGCTTTACTGTCCAACCCTTTTGGGAGATGCTGGCATTTAACTGGCTGTGTCCGGACAGGACCTAGCCCCTTAGTGTTCTCAGGTACATGCGGATCTCTCTGCAAGAGGAGTCCTTGAACGCTATGTGCCAGGCCCTGGTGAGACACCATACTGTGACATTCTATTCAGAGAGTGCCACTGGGCCTTTGGGTATTGTTATCACCAAGCTGAAGCCCTGAGGAAAATGACCAGTCCAAGCCCCTCCAGTGTGTCTGACTCCAAAGCTGTTATATGTGTGCTGTCAGGGGGAGAGAGAGAGACAGAGAGAGAGAGAGAGAGAGAGAGAGAGAGAGAGAGAGAGAGAGAGACTCCACTTGCTCCAGACCCCTTACCTCAGTGATAAACTGATAATCATAAATAGTCCCCTTCTCAGGAAATGGGACCGTCAGCGCCTTGGAGGACACTTGCTCAGTTCCACTCTGTAATTTGAACCTATTTCGCGTCAGGTCTGAAATCGGGCCTTCCATGAGTTCTCGGAGGATCTTATTAAACTTCATCCGGTCCTCATCTGTACACGAAGCACCAATGGACCAGATTGTGGAGAAAATAAAAATGCCCTGCAATGGCGAGATGGGGAGAGAGCATAAGTTAGAGAGGGACCGCCGCTTCCCCTGGCAGCTGATGGCGGATGGGACGAGTGGGCCAGAAAAAACCCAGGGCTGACACCCAAGGACTTCGGGGCAACGGGTCATCTTTGTCACACTGAGTCAATTATCAATCCTTAAAGATAATACAATGCAAAGTACAAATTCCAGCCATACCAACACTTCAGAATGACTAATATGGTATAATGCATGGTATTAAATATATATATATGCATTCAAGAAATCAAGAGCTTGATATTAAAGGAACACTGAGATAACTTGATTAAGGTTTAGGGCACATTTGACAAGGAAATAGCTATAATATATGTTATTGATTTAAATTTTGACGTGCTGGGTTTAGTTTAAGTAGAACCAATTTCTCTTCTCTTATTTGCAGCAATACACAGAAATTAAAGTTTCCATCCTGCAAGCCAAAGACACCAGCATAGGCAGAGCGGGCAGGGGCAGACCAGGCCCTATGTGGGTGAGAAAATCAGTCCGCTTGTTCAAAATCAAATCGTTTTTTAAATGCTAAAGCAAACAGAGTCCTGACTATGCTCAGAAAAGCTCTAGACTCTAGTTCTTTTTTTTTTTTTGTACTGGGAATCGAACTCACGATCTTGCCCTTGCCAGGCAGGTCCTGGCCCTAGTCTCTGTCAGCCCGGCTGCCCTGTCTACTTTTTTGCACACACTGTTTCTCTTAGTGTCTACTTTTCCTCAAAAATTAATTGATTTTATAAAATATAAACTGTAAGAGTTCCACATTGACCACATTATAAGGATACTCTGAATACTACTCGCAACATTTTTGTTAAAAATATCCAGATTCTGTTGCTATGTGAATTTCTACTTGAAAAATTCCCTTATGATTACTGTATATTTTCTTGCTTTCTGCAACCTAAAAATATAACAATGCCCATCCATACACCTACCTTCCTATACACACGTATTGAAATTTGTTATCATGGAAAAAGGAAGAAAATTAAGGTGGGAAAACTAATTTTATTACGGTTTGGAGAGAACAGAGCATCTGTGAGACTGGTCAGGTGGCCTAAGATTTCAGCCGTAGAACTGGGGTGACCCTGGGGCTCCCCACAAAGCTCACAACACAGCACGGTAGCTGGTTAGGAAGCTCCCCCGGCTCCTGGGGCTCAGGGCAGGACTCTGCCCCTACCCTAGCTCTAGCCACTGTCCTGTGAATCAGGACACCGGGGAAGCAGGAGACACCTTCACTCAGAACACAGAGGCGAGGGCCTCACCTCGAGCAGAGAGTAGACTTCTCGGTCATTTCGCTCTTTGACCTTGGCTTCATCCACAAAAATATCCATGAAACAGTCTATGAGATTCATTAAGGATCGGACCAGGTTTGTATCTGTAGTCGGAGACAATTCCTGAAAAGTCGGGGGAAAATACATGCAACAGATTTAAATCAGGCATGTGATACAGAGGCGTCAAGCTGGGGCTTACTGAACTCATTCAATTCCAACAGCTACGTATCAGTAAGAGTTGCTGTCACAGTTCTTGCTTCCTGGAGAAACTGAGAACATCTGAATCCCTTCCCTCGCATGGAATTTCACTTTGGGAAATGCCGCTCCTTAACCTCTCCTACCAATTCTCAATTAAAAAAAAAAAATTACTGGCACATGTTTAGTTAGTTTAATCAAAGATACTAGTTCTGTGCTTTATTAACTTTATAAATCAAAACAGTCAAAGTCTCTCAGAAAAGGCAGTTAGGCTGCATTCCTACAATGCTTAATACATAAAATCCATCTTAAGAACGTATCTACAAGCATGGCTGTAACTCTAGGAAGCCCAGCTCTATGAAGTACATTTCCAAATCCTGAGGTCTACACAAATACTGGGGGAGCACAGCAAATGAGACGTGCTTGGCTTTTTGACACTGGGGTGATATTTCAGAGGGTAAACAAGAAGACTTTGGGGCCGCAAAGCTCTGTGGAGAATGCCCTGCATAAACCCCAGTCTCTGACACGGACTGTGAAGACTGGAAACAGCCGGCTTCTTATCACAGCCTCTGGCTCGGGAAGCAGCAGGAAGCAACAGTGAGGGCTGAGTTTCCAGCCGGGGACAGGGCACTAAAACCCAAATAGGGATTCCTGCAAAGGAGGCAGACCCTTGGGACTGCAGGAAGTCATGGGCGTTCGTAACTTCTTTCCTTATTTACTTTTTTGCTGGTGGTACTGGGGATTAAACCCCCACCTTCTGCATGCCAGTCAAGCACACCGTACCACTGAGCTATATTCCTAAAATCTCTTTAAGTTTTTAAAAACTTGAGACCAACTCTTGCTAAATTTCCCAGGCTGCACTGAGCTTGCAACTGTCCTGCTTCAGCCTGCCGAGTAGCTGGGATTACAGGCGTGTGCCACTAAGTCTGGCTTCATGATTTCTTTAAGAGACACAGAGAAAGAGCCCGCTTCAGGAAACTTTCATTAAAAGTCTTCTGTTTTGCTATAGAAAGGCTAAGTTCCAGTGTCAGCGTGTCAGCCCCTTCCAGCCTGCTCCTGACTTCTTAGGAGTAGCTCAGGCTACCGACCACTTCCTTTGTCAAACACCCTGGCCTCTGCCCTCTCTCTCATCTAAGTCACGGTGCGGTACACCTGATGGTCTATCCTTCGCTGCCCTTCCCCCTGGACTCGCCCTTTGAGTAATGAACATCAGCGGGATTTTAAACTTCATCTTCCAAATCTGTATCTTGAGCCACGCTCCTTCAAGTTTTCTACTACATGTCCAACAGCAAGAAAAATATCAGCCCTATTTTCCCAGATTTACTTGGAGCCAGTCATTCTAAAAGACCTGTGATCAAGACCTCCCCAAACAGAAATGGAGCGGACTTCATAACTTCCCGCAGGAGAGCTCCAGAGCTCACGGGGCTTTCTCAGCTCTCAGAGGTGCGGACGTCCATTCCCATGACCACTCTTCCTCCCCTACCTCCCCATCTTCCCTACTCCAGTGCGTACTGGGAGAAAGGAAAAGAAAAGTGGTCACGCCCATGTAAGGTCCTCTTTCCAATCCTTCCCTTGGGCACTGGATTATTTTAGAGAAAAAACCTTATAAAGTGGAAATTTAAAATGTACAAATCCATCAGAAATAAGCAATTACATTTTGGGTTATTTTTATTAAGATAGGATTGTGTAAACACATGAGTTTTGTTTTTGTTTTTAGAGAGCAAAGACTGACAGCAATACATTTTCTCAAATTCTAAGATTTAAAAGACTGTGGAGAATAATCATATAAATTAAAATCTTTTTCAATCTAATCAGAAAAAGAAAATGATTGGTTTTGCAAATGGGAGCGGGGACCAAGAATTGGAAGGAGGGAGGGAGAAGTAAGCGATGGAAAAAGGCGTGTTGTGTCCAACACCACGCCACACGGAATCATTACCCACTGCAAACACAGACTAATAAAAATCAGTTGGGAAATACGTTGTGCATTGGTCGATAACATAAAGAAACACTGAGTTGATATATTTCGGTAATTTGCAATTACCTTGCTCATTTTAATCTTAAACCTCCATTTCTCTCACCTTCGTATGCCTTCTAATAAACTCCACGGACACAGGCACCATCCTGTCAAACAGGCCCGTGATAAATTCCTTCTGAATGGCGCTGATCGAGGGAGGTAAAAGATTTAACCAGGACAGCATCAGCGGCCTCCAGCCTAGCATGTGCGGTTCCATGTAAATCATGCCACATCTGGAGACCTGGAAGGATGGCAGGAATCATGGTCAAGATGACGCTTACAGAGAAGCATGGTTATTACATGCTGGTGTGGGCCGCTCTGTTCTCAGGCAGGCAGAGCTCAGGTGACACCCTGGCTGGTCCGGGAAGGGCAGATGGGGGGATGGGTGGCAGCTGGTGACAACCTAGTGGACACCTTCTCACTGGCAGAGGAGGCTGGTGGCCAAGTGACCCATATCTGACCCTTCCTGCCTAGGTAGGAGATACTTTTTCTTGTGGATTTTAAAAGCAAAGGTCCTTGGTTTTCTGGGCCGGTCTATCCTGGGCTGGGGAAGGCGGCTGCTCCTGGGTCACTGTGCCAGTCACCTAAGGTGAGGCAATGTGAGAAAACCCTGATCACTACAGACCACGATGGTAGAGGAGGAAAACAGGGCATCAGGACAAGACGAGGTCCCAGCCCTCTGCTGCATCATGACCTGGAACACCTGTCCCTTAGAGTTCTCAGAAAGGTCTTGGAGCAAAACCTCAGTTTTATGTAATTCCATGACCTCTGGGCTCAGGTCTGACTTTACCAGATGAGCCCAGACACAAAAGGAGCCTGTCCTGTTCCATCTGTCCAGTATCCATCTGGGTTTGTGTTGACAGACATATCTGGGAATCACAGATCTCTCTCCAAATGAATACTGATATTTTTTCATTCAAAGTCAAAGCTGCTACATGAACTAAAAAGTAACATTTTCCAGTTCAGAAGCTGATGACAAAGTTGAGAACTTACAGTGGCAGGGGAAGCGACTTCTAAATCCATTGGCTCGAAAATCAGGTTCATCTGCGGTGACATCTGGATGATCTCGCCGCTCATCAGGCAGAGCTTCTTGTTGTCGTCCAGCACCGTGTTCATATTCTCTATCCACACCGCGTCCACGGGCCCATCAAAAATCAGCCACTTCCTGTCTGGAGTCTGTTTGATGCGCATTGTAAACAAAGAGCAAAAAAATGGGTTGAAGGAAATGTTATTCTTTTAAAATCAAAAATGTAAGTCTTAGAATTAATTTTACTATGCATATCCCAAGCGAGCCTTTGAATAAACTGTGTGCGCACACAGCTTTTGTGCCAGGCAGCGAGCGGCCTCGGAGGAGGCCGGCCTGTAATCCCAGCTGCTTGGGAGACTCAGGCAGGAAGATAAGAAGTTCCAACCCAGCTTAGGCAACTTAGTAAGACCCTGCCTCAAAATAAAAAATAAAAAGTGGGCTGGGGATGTAGCTCAGTAGTAGAGTGATCCTTCATTCAATCCCAGGATCGAAAAAAAGGCCCAATACGTGCACAGATGAATCCCATTGTTCATTGAGGTTTAATCTTCTCAAAGTTTCTGAACTCAAATTTCTGAGTGGATATTTCATCCAGATTTGTCTGTTCTTTGAGAATCGCAGATTGGTCTTAACATGCATCCTACTATCACATGCTCACATAGGTTGATTATTAGTGTGTATACACCGGATTCTTTCCTCCATGGGATGAACTTAAACCTAAGTGGGATGAACTTAAACCACACACACACACACACACACACACACACACACACACACACACATGGCCTTGCTGGGGCTGGCTGTCTTATGATGGAGTAGGAAATTCAAACCAACATAACAGTCACAGTCCCACGATTATTTATTAAATATGAAATTGTTTACATATTGCTCTGAATACAGTAAATGCTCAACAAATATGAGGCCAGGCCAGGTGCTGACTGAGGCGCAAATGCCGGTTCCACTGTTGAGATTCTCCCTCTGGGTTTCGAGTGATGATCTACCTGATTTAAGGCAGAAGTGGAGGAGGATTTGAACCCGCCTGGGTACGTTTTCAGCCCCGTGGCCGCCCATTCATCTAGGAGACAGACAGTGGTCACCTGCCTCGGGCTGCTCCCAACTCGGGACAGGTGAATCCCAGGGATATCTTGAGACCACATGTCCCAGGCTGTGGGTTTCCGTGCCTGGGTCCTGTCCCTCTGAGACTCACTGCCCTGTTCAGGAGACCTTGTGCGTCACAGTCAGAAGGACTTTGCCTCTCATTTGTGTCTACTACTTAGTTGCTGTGTGACTCCGAGGAAATAGCTTCCTCGAAACTCAACATTTCTGGGACAACGTTCATGAGAAATGCAAACTACATAGCTGAATCCAGAGTGGTCACACAGCCTGTGACTATTTCTGTGCAAATGAGGTAAACATGTACATTACCTAGAGACTTCCTGTGCTGTTCTGGGCCCCAGTGCACCCACAGTGGCAAGGCATGACCCGAGAAGCTACATCACTGACCCCAGACCTTGGCTGGCTTCACCCAGGCTCACAAATGTCTTCACGATTACTGGGAGAACTCTAGTCCGGGCAAGATCTCTGCTTTAGGAGCGCTGGTCCTTACCTTCCCACGGCCCCAGGTCTTTGTGCCCATAAGAGCTGAGATTTCTGTTACTACACAGACTCAGGAGCCCAGTCTGCGGGCTCCTGAAGTAGTAAAGACAACCAACGGTAGGATGTGTGGCCATCAGAACGGAGAAAACAATGCTAAAGCAAATTATTCAGCAAATAACCTGGGTGCCCCAGGCCGGGCCCCTTTGCTAAGCATCTCAGCACAGTCCCGGGAACCTGCCCACTGAGGGCTTCCATGCTGACATCACTGGTGCGTGGACTCTCATCATGAGTGGATGAGCAGGCGTGGGGCAGTGCCCTCTCCCGTGCCACAGTCAGCAGCGGGCACAGCTCTTCCCCACCCACATCCCAGCCACCAGCCCCTCTCCCTCCAGCACACTGGATGCAGGTGACAGAACTTCAAGACACCGTTTTCAAGATCGCCTTGAGGAGATGCAGCGATCAGTGGATGTGACCACGGCAGCATCCCAAAAAGTGGCCCAAGGAATCCAGCCCAGGGCACACACCTCTAACTCCAGCCACCTGGAGGACAGTGCAGGGCTGAAGCCTTGTCCCACAAGAAAGTGAAAAGATCTGAGGGTGCAACTGTCTGCTCCCTGGGTTTAAATCCCAGGGCCACACATGTGTGCCAAAGTGGGCAGAAAAGGAACCTTCCCGAGGGGACCAAAGGACCTGGGACTCGGATGCCCCTCTTCCTGGATAACCCGGCCTGGGAGAGCAGAGCGGATCAGAAACCTCCCACCCTGCGGTTTGTGTCTCACCGAGGAGGAGGCGAAGGCCCTGAAGCTGACTGCGAGGATCCCGTCCGACCACTCGTGGGACACCAGATCAAACTGTCCGTACAGCTGTCCCATGGTGACTGACTTCGGGTTCAGAACCGTGATCTGAACCTTGTTTTCTTCCATTAGCCCCTGAGTGAAAAACAAAACAAAAGCAATCACTGACTTATTTAGAGGAATACGATCTCTATTCATAAAAAACGTCACTGTATATACACAGGACCCTAAGGAGCCTATAAAGAAGCCACCAGGAGTCACTTTATTAAGCTCAAGGTCTACAACCCAACTGTATTTTACTTACAAGGCCAGTGAAAATCGGAAAGGCAGTGTTTTAAGGTAATCTTTACATTAGCATTTAAAAGCTCATAAAATGTATAATTTCCTATAAGAAATCGGGAAAGGTGGCACAAAATCTGGAGGTCTCAGACTGTGGAGCAGGAGTCGGCATTTTTATTTTGCAAAGGGCCACAGAGTAAATATTATAGGCTTTCCAGGTTTCTATTTTTCTTTCTTTAAAACACATTTTTAAAAAAATGTTAACACCATTGCCCATTACACAAAAGAGGCTTTGGGCTGAATGCGGCCCATGAGTTGTAATTTGCTGACCCTGGCTGCAGAATGATCTCTGAGGGGAAATTAGAACCTGTAAAGGCAGGGAAATATGTACTTCTTGTGAGGCGAAAGGCTTAATATTGGTAAATTGTCCATTTGGGGCAGAATCCTGGAAGTCATTTCTACGGCATTATTACAAGGGATGTTGGCACCCTTGGGTTACAAGGCTTTTAATTTTTAATTAATAGACTTTATTGTTTTAGAGCAGTTTTAAATTTACAGAAAAGCTGAGCAGAAAGTACAGAGACTCCCAAACACTTCCCTGCCCCAGACAACTGTTTCTCCAATAATCAACAATTTGCAGTACAGGAGTATATCAAAGGCTATATATGAAGTCGCTATTAATATAATATAATATACATTGTGATTAACGAAAGCCTGTAGTTTAAATTAGGGCTTAGGTTTTGGCTTGTGTAATTCTATGGGTTTTATCAAATGCGTGTGTCATATGTGATAGTACAATGTGGAATAATTGCACTACCCTGAAAGTGCACTGCAGTCTATATATTTATAATGACACACATATACACACACACACATATACAGGGAGAGAGAGAGAGTGTGTGTGTTCTGTTCTTCCCACTACTTCCAGAGCTTGGGATACAAGCTACCAACTTAAAGGAAAAATTGCGGCAATAATAATGTTACCCAGTAAGACAAGCTCAAGGTCTTTGGCTATTCTGTGTGTCCAAGAATAGCTTACTAATGCCACTTCTTACATTCACAGGCCTAGGAAAGCTCAATTCTCCTTAATCGGGATAGAGCTGCTGTCACCAAGAACAGATTTGTCCCAAAGGCTCGCGTGACCTCTAGCTCCTGCACCATGGCCTGGAGGGCTGGCACCTTCACGTACCACCATGTCCTCCAGCACACTCGGGTCACAAACCACACAGACGTCCTGAGCGACCTTGGCTTCCTCCTCCGGCGGGGCCCTGCTTTGTTCAGTCAGCACACGGCCAGTGAGGGAGAGAAAACCCAGCAAAGCACAAACAAGTAAAAAAGATAGGAGAAGGAAGCCAGCACAGAGCACAGAGTAAAAAGAATGAGAAGAAAAAAGGGAAGGGGAGGAAAAGAAGAGGAAACCAAGGAAAGAGCGTGGGCGAATAAGAGGAAGAAACATGACAGGAACGGCACGGCAGTCGGCATGGTGATAAATACACACGCACTGGGGCCCATGGGAGCACCAGACTGCTTCCTCCATCAGCCCCCAAATGGAAAAGGAAGAGGACAAGGAGATGAGGAGGAGGAGGAGGAGGAGGAGGAGGAGGAGGAGGAGGAGGAGGAGGAGGAAGGGGAGGAGGGGGAGGGGGGAGGAGGAGGAGGATGAACTAAACAGTGTCATATCGGTTGAAAGGAGGACTCCAGTGAGCAGTGATCACAAATCACACCCAGGACGCGAACACTGAAACTCATGCCATAAAGACAGCTGAGAATACACGCAGAGGTGAGCAGAAATGCAGCGCTAGCTGGAGCGGTGGAAACAGCCCAGTTCTGTGAGCACACTCCAGCAGGCCAGAGGCTTGTTCATTTAAGGAACTGGAGTGGTCATTATGTATGTACAGAAGCTTGTACTGCATACATAGCCTCAGGCACACACACAGACGTGCGTTCCTCTAATTAATCCACTAGTATCATTGTAGACATTTTCACCACAAATGCAACTTCCCAGGAAAATATTAGAAGAAAACTTTCAGGCTTTGCTCTATGTATTTTCAGACTTTTCTCTATTTTATTACCTTGACAATTAGAAAGACAAAAGACATAAAAGATTAGAAGGTATCACTGGTCACTTGAGAAATGCAAATTAAAACAACACTGAAATTCCATCTCACCCCAGAAGGAATGGCTGTCATCATGAAATCAACCAATAACAAATGCTGGTCCAGGGGCTGTGGGGAAAAAGGAACCCTTCTCCCCTGTTGGTGGGAGTGTAGACTAGTGCAACCATTGTGGAAATCAGTGTGGAGATTCTTTAAAAAACTAGGATGGGAGGTCCTTATTCAATGCAGACGTTCCCCTTCTGGGTACTTTTCCAGAAGATTTGAGAATACTATATCCAGTGATATATGCCCATGCAATGTTTATAGCAGTAAAATAGCTAAATCTTGGAAACAACTCAAAAACCCATCAACCGCAAAATAAAATGGATAAAAATGATGTGACGTTTTAATCCAATGAAATATCACTCAACTATAAAGAAGGATAAACTTGAGGCTTCTATAGGTAAATGAATGCAACTTGAGACCACACTCACATGTGTAATAAATCAGACTCACATGTGTAAATATAACACTATCTCCCTACTATAAAAAACTGAAAGACTAAGTAAGATCCAAAATGTACAACAGATATTGTGAAAGGGAAAGGGAAAGAAAATGCCCAAAAGTACAGAACAACTGGGACAGGGGAAAGGAGAAAAGAAAGAAGGGGAAAGATAGATACACCTACTACTAATCCCTATGAATTCATCAAAAAGAGCAGTTTGTGCTGTCATTGTTCGACTGATCGTTTTGTGCCTGTATCTTATAATCTGAACTACTTTGAAGATAACAACACGCAATACATTAACCACTGTTAATCTCCTATCATATTGTTTAGAAATTCTGTATCATCAGTTTTATTCTTTTTTCATCTTAAAATAAAAATTCTTTAAAATAGCAGGTAAATCTGGGGCATATTCTATATCCTAAACTTCCTACTTGCTTCATTTTGCTTTTACAATTTTATTTCTCTTTGACTCAGTCTTCTTGGAGTCGCCATTTGAAAGCACCTTCTAGAATGACATGCGGTCTCCCTTGCACAAGGCAGAGTGCGTTAACCTCACGAACCTTCTCACATATATCGTTCAGGGCACCAGCTAAAACACGGTAGGCGCTGGTCTTCCCTCCAAACGGTTCTCCGACGATCATAAATCCGTGGCGCACAATCATCATCTCGTATATCTGAAGAATCTTCTCCGAGAAGAACTTGGTCATTTGCAGATTCATGGAGACGCAGTTGTCTTTGATGGCTGCCAGCAAATCGTTGTAATCGGGCTTTGGTAATTTCACCCCAGGAAATAAATCTGAAGTAATCCCCTGATAAGAGATGATTTGAAATGTTTTTATACATTTATATTACATATGTATAAATATTTTATATCATTTGAAATACGTATGTAAAGATGGAAAGCAAGCTGTTAAGTAATAATAGGTCAAACCTCCTCCTGTTTTCTGCTAAAAGTTTTACAGCTTGAGCTTTTGTAGTTTTATGATATTTGTAAGTAGAAAGTTGTGCAAATAACATTACATGATTTCAAGGTCTATTACAAAGGTTGTCACATTGGGAAAAGGTAACAGACAATCAATATCATGGGACAAAGTGAGGGGTCCAGAGATAGACCCTGCTGTACCCAAACAACTCCCCACAGACACGAGGGCGGCTCAGCGTTTGACAGAGAGCCTGGACGACCAGCTGGAGCGCCTGTCTATGTTGCAGTGCTCCACACTACCGCACGCTCACATCTTTCACGCATACCTCAGACATCAGCGTGGAAGTATTTCAGCAGATATGTTGCATGGTTTGAGGAATGGCCCCCCAAATTTCTTGTCCACCCACAATTTTGGATGTGACCTTATATGAAAACAGGCTCATATCCATGTAATCAGTTAAGTAAAGCCACATGGATTAGGACACAGCCTTAGCCCAGGGACAGGTGTCTCAGAGAAAGGAGAAAGTCACACACAAGACCCTGGGATGACCCTGCGATGATGCAGGCAGGGCCGCAGTGACACAGGCACAAGCCAAGGAGCCTCGGGCACTGCAGAGACACCGGAGGCAGGCAGGCAGGAGGAAGAAGCCTTCTCTGGAGCCTCAGGAGGGAGCATGGCCTCTGGCTTGTGGTACTGAATTATGGTACGCTAGGAAATTAAAACAGTATAATCATATAATAATCACGGGTTTGGAAGGAACTCTGACCTCACATGTACTGTGCATGGATTCATAAAGTTAGTTACAAGACCTAAGGAAGTAATCTTCTCAGTCAGGTAAGACGGTGACCATCACCACCAACCACGTGAGAAGGATGACTATTCTTCTCACCCTGGAGGGAAAAGGGAGATTTCAGAGTCACGCTGCAATCAGTCCCTGCAAAGCCTTTACAGAGACGCTCCTCCCCTTTCTGCAAAGCAGGAAGTTTCCTCAGGGCAAAGCAGAGAAAAGGTCAGCACAGCAGGGTGGACAGAGCTGGCCACGGGCTGCATGGCAGAGTCCTGCTCCCCGTGACTGCCACAAAAGCCAGTTACTTTGCCTCTCGTGCCTCAGTTTCACCATGTGTTAAACAGGATAATGACAGCATCAGCCCATGGGGACGTCTGCAGCATTAAACAGAATACTCCCTGCAAGGCACTGCTTTGTAGGACCTGGCAAGGCTGGGGGTGCGGCTCCGTGGTAAGGTTCATGGTTAGCCATGTGAGGTCCTGGTTTGATGCCCAGCACACAACACACATGCACACATGCATGCACACACACACTCACATACAACACAAAGACATCTAGTCACACTTCCAAAGGCTTACGAAAGAAGCAACAAATTTTGGTGTCCAGTGACCCCACCAAAGCCAATATCCTCCCCTTCCTGCGGAGCTGGAAAGCTCGGAGGTGTCCTGCTTGTCACCATGGCAGAAGTGCAAACACTGGGGGAGGAAGGCAATGTCACATTGTGCATGGACAGTCCTGCCCAACAGGGACTTGTGCCTACTGGAAATGTTACCTGAGAAACATTGCCCAGTCCATGTCCCCAAGCACTGCACCGGCACAAGGACACAGGCACTGAAGTGTCTTTGTACATCCAGGAAATCTGTACAGTGCACCAGTACCAAGGAAACCAAGGGAAGTCATGGGGAGAAAGTGCACCATCTTCCCCTGCTGGTTTTCCCTGTAAAATATCTGCACTGCCGGCTCTAAGTAGGAAGGGCTGCCGCTGTGGAGACGGCCACACATAGTTGCTATGGTAACCAATGTCAGTGGACCACTCTAGTGGCAGGATCTCTTCCCCCATCACCAGACAGACACAAGGTCTGCAGTCTTTACGAGCTGACAGCCAGTGCCTGTGTGAGCTGCAAGGCAGCGTGCAGGAGCAAGGGTCTAACATGCACAAAGAGCCCGCCGGTCCTGGGACAAGGAAGGGGACCAGACGGAACCAAAGATGAAATGGAATCTTGGGCCATTACTCTTCCTTTCAGTTACCCTTAATCTGATCCTACTTGATTGATAATCTGATAACTTGATTGTCAAACTTGGTTCTTGTGTAAGATCATGCTTAAAATTTCATAAATGCCATCTCAGTCTTCTAAGGAAATTAAGCTCGTTCATTTTTTTCAGTCATTCACAGAACTAATGTTTACCAAGTGCCTATTCTGTGCTGAGGATTCAGTGGCGTGCTGGGCCAAGTTCCTTCCACAGAACCCACATTCTCGGGGAATTTGTAAGCAAATGTCACCTTTGCTGATCATTATATTCCGCAGTGAAGAAAACTTAAAAACCCCTTGTTCCTGAAACTCAGACAGCAAAGCTAGCTAAACACACTCCAAATAAAAACAAGGGGTGATCTATGTTCCTCGGCTCTGTGTTGTTCTTTATGGTTAAAGTTTCTTGCAGGGAGCTTTGAAAACACGGACATTTGATAAATGCATTCTTGAAAGAATTTTGATGCACTGGAATAATGAATATTCTTACCTTAAAAAGTGGTAAATCGTGGGCTAGAAATTTTGGCAGATTTACATCAATAATAGATCTCAGTAGCAAAATTTCTTCGTTTTCATTTGGGTACTTCAGCTGCAAGAAAACACACTCATGAGGGTTTCTGCAGCCGCACCCTCACTCACGTTCGCACAAACACAAACACAAATACAATTCCAACCGGCATGACCGCGGTGCTATTTCATGTGGTTTGGTTGCTGCTATAGAAACGGACATTTACACTCGCTGAATTTTTATTAGTTTGTAATAAAAACCTAGACTGAACTAGCTGCCTGTTCGCAGACACTAAACAAAAGGCTCCTAGCCACTAATTCAATGTATTTGGGTTACTGCCGTCATCTAGGTGTTGGGTAGAACTAGTTCACCCGATGCCTTTAAGACCCAGCAGCCCAGGGACGATGGTGAACATCGTTAGGAGTGGACAGTCATTCTGACTAAGTGGATTTAACTTTAAAACATATAAACAACGTTCTCTCCTTCATCATATTCCGAGGCCAAGACCTTTGCTCTGAATGTAGAGCTCTGCACTCGTCTCTGTGTTTTTCACCAAAACAACATCAATCATGTGTCTGCCGCTCTACCCAGCTTTGCTGTGTTCTGCTTGTTTTTAAAGGGGATGAAGCACTCAAAGACACCTGTAAGACATCCTGAAGGGTGTAAGTTTGACACCTCCTTTCTCATCCGCATCTAATTCAAAGTCACTATTCTAACAATCTGTGTTTCCTGATGCTCTTAAATAATGAACTTAGTACTCATAGTACAGAAACCCTTCTTCTTTTCAGGTTTATACCTCACTGGTATAAACCCGCCAGGCACCTACATGGCAGAACACAGCATGGTCTGGCCAACTTCACACACAGCACCTGGAGGCCCTGCTTGTGCCCGTGAAGTGGAGAGAGTTGAGGCAAATGCACACGAAACTCCCGACCATCGTGGGAGCCCGAGGTTGACTGAGAAGTGGTTTTGACCCTGAACTTGCTGTTTTGAAATTGCACCCACAGCAGCACCCACATAATCAACAAAAACCCAAATGCAGAATTATTCCACCCATTTTAGTGCTTAACAGCTCACTCGAGAGTTTCACCCACCTCCGTATGCTGGTTTGCCAGCACTCTCCTGCCCCCCAGATCTTCTCTCTAATGAATGTTGCTGGCTTACTTTGGTGGCCTCTGCCTTACAAAGCCCCTGTCTCCTTGCTGTCAGGCTTGTTGGCTCTGCCTCTCCTCGACTCCCAGTGCCAAAGCTGACCCTGTGCCTGAGTCCAGGCTTTGATCACTCAAACCACAAAGAAATCAGTGTCAGAAGCTTGCTACCCAAGGGGCCATTATTTTGAAGCAAATGTTCAAATTCTCTCTTGATATAACAGAAACCGGCTTCAAAACATTCCACAACTCTAAATTAGCTTTTGACAAAGAAGGATAGGTTAATTTGCAAGATTTGTTTGCAGCCTGACTTTAATGGCTTGATTGATGCCATAGTCAAGATTTCAGGGAAGACACAGGCTGGAAAATGCATTATCTAACCACAGGTAATCGTGACGTGCCGGGTTAATACAAATTGGGGCTTCTAAGCACCTGCATTTATTGCAAAACACAATGACTTGAAGTGATGTCAGGCTGACATGAAGTAGAATATCACTACTATAGATTACAATTCTTGATAACATTATGATAGAAGATAAAAATGCATGCCAATGTCCTTAGTTATGTTGCACATATTTTTAAATCTGTATCTTGTACAAATCATGAACATGAAAATTTTGTAAACCCCAAGGTCACATTATACTGTGACCTAGAATCACTTTGATGCCTTAAATACAGTTTTATTTCACAGGTCCACAAAATACTTCCAATGAAAAGTTAACCAAGTCTTTAAAAATTGGGTTTTTCATATAGTATGTTTTTACATGATTAGATTATTTCAAATGCAAATGTTTTATTGCAAATTGATTACTGCTAGGCCAGTTGGCTACAACTAATAATTACATTAAGTCACAATGTCTTAGGGCTTTTTGCATATATTTATCAATTACACATTATTTCCTTTAAAGTGATATAGGTTATATAAACTAGAAGCCTTCAAAATGTTTCTCAGCAGTCACCAGGCATAATGGCACATGCCGGTGCTCCCAGCACTCAGGAGACTGAGACAGGATCGCTGTAAGTTGGAGGCCAGCTTGACCTACATAGTGAATTCAAGGTCAGCCTGGACTTCATAGTGAGACCCTGTCCAGAAAAACAAACAAAAATAAATTCTCAGTGGTAAACAATCTTCTTCCCTGGTAGCACCCAGTTCTGTATTTTAAATTATGGAACAAGCAATCCTATCATGAAGAATCACACAGGTAAGGGTTTTTTATATAAAACTTTTTGTGGGTGCAAAACGATATTTTAGTGCGATCACTGATTCTGTTCGGTTAGCGAGAGCAATGTGTCACTCCATGAAGACACACAGACCAAGACGCGCGAAGGGGAGATTCCGGGTCAGAGGCGCAGAGTCTGTACCTTCAGGTTCCCGGCGGCAGTGAGCACCGACTTCACAGCCCGCATCCCGTAGTCATAGTGATGCTGCGAGGACAGCTGCTCCGAACACAAGCGGTAGGTGGCCACGATTTTCACAGACAGCGGCCGGGCAGTGACGAACCCACAGGAGTATAGGACTATTTCAGCGATCATGGCGTAGTCGGGGACCATCATGGCCACTGTGCGGAAGAGAGCCTAAGGGACAGGACAAGACAGGCCCTCTTTAAACAGGGACGCCCCGCAGCTCTGCCCTGGAAGTGTCCATCCGAGCATCACCGGATGAACAGATAAGGGAAACGTAACTGTACCCCGTGAGGCACTGATCTGCCACGGAGGAGGGTGAACCTGGGTCACCTGCGGGAGGACGGGTGCACCTCGAGGCCAGAAAGCTGAGGAAAGTCAGCCAGTCACATGGCTTTTCCAATACATAAATAAAGAAAATGAAAGATCACAGGAAACAGGGACATGGATCTTTTGCAAATAGCAAAGAGGGGAGGGGAAGCGGACGTACAAATGGTGAAGACGTGTTACACACAGGCACCAGCTCCTGGGGAGAGACAGAATCACTGTGCATGGCAAACATGTCCTAATAAAAACAAGTGTTTAAATAAAAATGACCATCACAAAAATAGCCCTGCTGTATAGTCACAGCATGTGATGGCTTTATAGTTTTTCTGCAATCATTAAATTATGAGGTTCAAGCCATATAAAAACAATTAAACCAACTGGTCTTCTTTTACACCCATATCATAAACAGAGCATTAACTTTGGTGTATGAACCGTTTCCATGTAAAAAATGCTTAGAGTCAGCTGTGCTGTGCTCCCCTCCGTGATGTGGGGGAGCTTCTGGTCTCTGCAGGATGTCTAAAGGCCGGGCTTCTTACCTGGGCTGGGAGATGGGGCTTCACACCAAACTGTACTTCATAACCTGGAGCGAGTCAGGCAGCCCTGCTAACGAGACCGTGCTAGGGAAAGGGCGCATGTGGGGACCCCCTGAGCCCCTGCCATCTGTGGTTGCTGTGCCCGTCTTCTAGGAAGTGTAACAATGGAAAGAGGACTAGGAAGCAAAAGGACCAGTGCCTGCATCTGCTTGGACAGCGGACACTGCAGAGGCACATGGCAGAGGAGAGCCAGGCTGCGAGCTGGGGTCCGGCCCCACAGCGGGAGGAGAGCATCCCCGCTCAGAAGTCCTAGGGAAGGGGCCACCAAAGGTCTGGGCAGACAGAAGGCATCAGACTGAGAAGACCTGTCGTCCAAGCCTTGGAAGCTGTGAGCAGGGGACCCAGGAGAGGAACTGTGAGAACTGTGAGCTGCTCTGCTGGCCCAAGGGCGGGCCAGAGGGTCACGTTTGAATGACCTTGTGTGTCCAGGCTTCCTTGCTGGAGGAAAGGAGAAGTCTGGGCTTATCTGTCAGGCTATGAAGTGGTGATTTAGAGACAGAGCAAACTTCACGCAGAGAGGTAGGTGGTGGGGGACGTTCTGGGCAGGGAGGCTCCTGGTGACATGAACAGCAGGGGAATGCGGCCTCTGGGAAATAGTCCCAATGCCCAGTGCTCAGAGGTGGTACTAAGAAACCTGAGCTTGAACTACTAGACAAAAAGGAGCCCCCAGTTTCTTAAAGTGTGGGGATGACATGACTAGACGGCTTGGGCAGACCACAGGGCAGCACTGCAGGGGGAGCTCGGGAGGGGAAGCCCAGGGGGGAGCCATGAGCCACATGGGAGCTGTCACCTCTGTCCCACCCCAGAGGACAGTGACGGGGTGAGACCGGGTGTGGTGAGGACAGGACCCACGGGACTTAGAGAGGACTTCTGTGAAACAGGAGCCCAGAAGAGCTTGTGAAGGGGAGGGGGTTTCCAGAACATTCCAACCACTGCTAACAGCACTTCCTGGGGCCCGGCTGCCTTGTTCTCCTTTTCTTTTTTACTTTGGATACGTTTCTCTTCCTTCAGATGTTAGATGTTTCCACAGACATTGAAAACAAGAGCTCTGTAGCAGCTCTAACCAAGGCAGCACAACAGGAGAACAACGGGAACCCGAAGAAGAGCTGTGAGCTGGAGGGCAACGCCGGGCTTGATGGAGAAGGAAAATGCGTCACCCCAGGAACCACGGGGCACATACTTGGTTCTGTCAACACGGATGCCGTGGGAAAAGTCTGTGTGGGGCACTGACAGATGCCACCGAGAGCCCAGTGATGGCTTCCAGCTTTTTATGACCAGCTCCTGACAGGGCTTTGCTTTCCCTGCTCTTATAAAAATTTAATATTATTTCTACCCTTTTTCCTATTTTGCTTTTTTTCTCTAAATAAAAATAAAAAATAAAAAATTATGCACTCTGGTTGCATCTACAGAACAAAAAAACAGCATAGCTGAGTGGAACATACGACTGGTCCAAGAAGTGCTTTCCAAAGGAAAAGTGCGAGGGAAATCTCAAAATGCTTCTTACATAAAGGATTCTCCAGTTTTTGTTTTTAAATCACACCTCCCTGAAGGAAAGCAAAGCACTAAGACATCCGGCACAGTGCACAGAAGGACGTGAGGCGGAGCCCAAAACACTGGCAGCAATTAGTCTAGCGAAGTCCTTCCAGTGAAGAAGAAACACTGCTCCCTCCTCCTGAGAAGCGGTGGGTTCCACACGGAACCGAGAGGCCGGGAGGACTGGGTCGGGGCCTGGTTTGGGAACCACGATTGCCAGAGCACGACTTCCTGGATCTTCTCAGTGCACAGTCATAGCCACCCGTGCCATCCCGGCTGCAAAGAGGCTCACAGACACACAGAGAAAACGCATTTCCCTGAGAAGCAAACACAAGCTGCTTGATTCAGTGAAGTGTCTGCTCTGTCCCAAGTGGGTAGTGTTTTGTTCTTTGCTACAACAACAAAGTCAGCACTGTGTATTCATGAGGGTTGATGCAGGAGGTAAACGGTGGCACTGGGATGCAGTTCACCACACAGCTGTCCCCTGACTCCAGCCCAGAGAGCATTTCAACCCCGAGAATAGCTCAGAGGACCTCTGCCCACCACCACATTGTTCATAAGGCAGGGAAACTAGACGACACTTACAGGTTCAGCAGGAAGAAAAGTGTAATGGATTTATAGAGTGACCCATGTCTCTAAAGATGAGAAAAGCTCCACGCTATAATATTAACTTGAAAAACTCCCACTGTACTGTCTTGTTTAAGCACTGTGTTTTTAAAAGGCATTTAAAACTGTGATCATTCAATGCAAATAGTAAGTAGCAGAATAGGTACCGTTTTAGTATTTTTATATATTTTGTACTGTGTTATAATCAGCCTTATTTTCTTTTATTTTTATCGGTACCAGGGATCGAACTCACGACTGCACGCTTGCAAGGCAGGTGCTTATGCCACAGAGCTAAATCCCCAGCCCCAATCAGGCTTATTTTAAAAGTAAAATTTGAAAATTGTACCTGGGGCACGTATGTATCTTTAAAGCATTCAAAGCTTTAAAAATTATCATCTAGAATAGTTTTCTAATATATTATAAAGCCTAACCGCATATTTTGCATGTAATTCCAGGGTGGTAATTCTTTCTTTTACGAAATGTTAGCACTTTGTAAACTGGAAAAACAGAGTGGAAGATGCACTCCCACCACCAGCATACCTTCAGATTATCTGGCAGCTCGGATCGCCCAGCATACCCAGGGTTCATGGTTATGAAGACAGCACAGGTAGGGTCCAGTTTTAGCTCGGTTCCCTCAAAAACTAGGATATCAGCGCCTGCATTAATGCCTGTGCGTAATGAAGACAGAACCGATTCAGCAGAGCCACACATAATGCAGCCTGTGTCCTTCATTACCGCCCATATTTCTTCTGTTTTCCACACAATGCCAAGAGAGACTCGTCCATTACCTCTTTGGATAGTAAGGATTTGTTGAGCAACCACAGAAAGTACTTCCAAATCGATTCTGTTGAACTCATCAAAGCAAGCCCAGGCGCCACAAGATAGCAGCCCCTGGGAGAAAAGAGTAATGGAATTTTTCAGCTTTATCTGATTGAATATTATGTTGACAGGCTGCAGTTTTCACCTGATCTTTTTAAGGATTTAATATCCTATCAAGGAAGTTGCTTCTTCACCTCTATCATTAAAGACAGCTTCCTTTTTCAATACCAATTCATTATTCTGTATGAATAAAGAGTTTGATCAACTGGAAAATTTTCCAATTTACTTTTTTTTTTTGCTTCCTGTATTTTTCTTGCATTTGGATGTGCACCTGAAATGTTGAAGTCTTTCTTACTTTTTATTTGCACACTGATCTATTTGCTGTTTCTGGGTGGACTCAGCGAGTGGGCTGTAACTGTTCTCCACCCATAGGGACCTCTGTTGCTAGCAAAACTGCTCTGGGAAGTGAACACCAGTGGCTGGCTGAGGTCACACAGGTCACAGCTAACTTTCAAATGGGACACTGGGTTGTCAGGAAAAACCAGGAACTCGGACATCATCAGCTCCCTCCAAATCCATGTTTACACATTAAAAAACTCAAAAAATCAATAAATATTTGTTAAGCACACATTATAGTGTGTGTGTGTGTGTGTGTGTGTGTGTGTGTGTGTGTCATATATGCCAGGCATGATGCGTGGCACTTTATAGATAAATTTTAGGCAAGGAAACTAACTCTGTACTCCTACAGTTAGCACAAGGCCTTGCTTTTGTATCCAGTGGATTACACTGAACCGTAATGGATTGAATGTGAACTCGATCTGTGTCAAGGAGAAGTACATTTTCATTATTTAGGGAAGAGTTTATCTACAATTGACCCATATAGCATTAGATAACGGAAGATTTAGATCACAGTGCACGGGATGTTTAGGAGGTCACAGATTCAAATAGCCATACTGACTGTGAGGTTTCCAACAGTAAGAACTACAGCATTTTAACGTGTACCCCCATTGCCAGCATGAACCTAACACAGAGCCAGTCTCCATATAATTAGAAGTGCTCGGCGACAAGGAAATGTAACACAATATATGTGCATGACTCTAAATCAAAGAATTAAGAATTTCACTAACTAGACTAACAAAAAGAACACCACACAGCACATATTTCTCTAAACACGTAGGACTATAATGGCTATTCAAACAAGTAGGCCTTTTAAATCTCACTATTTATTTCTTAAATAATCATTGTACTACATGCACAGATCATTACAGAGGGTAAATTAAAATGTTATTGTTTGCTTGATTTTTTATTCATCATAATTTTGACTTGCTTTTATTTCTAACTCCTAATTGTCTCGGTATCACACACACACAGGCTACTTCCCTGGGAATCGTTAAGGTAATACTTTAGTTCTATCTTTAAGATCTAGTAAATCTTTTATGTGAACACAGTTATGTTGCATTATAAACAGCTCCTCTCTGTGGGCAGTTATCCTATGATGAAGGGAGGAGGAGATGACGCAAACCTTAAAGAACTTTCCTAGGGCCAAGTAATCCAAGCCATCTGAGCAGTTGAACACAACGCACTGTTTGGCCACCGCCTTCGCCAAGTCCTTGGTGGTCTCCGTCTTCCCGGTGCCAGCTGGGCCCTCGGGCGCCCCTCCAAGGTGCAGGTGAAGGGCTCCAAATAAAGTTCTGAGAAAGAAGACAGGGGTCATCCACATGGAGCAGTGGTTTGGTTTGGTTTGGTTTGGTTTGGTTTGGTTTGGTTTGGTTTGTATTGTTTTGTTTTGTTTTGGTTTAATGCACATACAAAAAGCTTAAATTGAGAACCCAACATGCCATTTCCCTCTCCAATAATTCTTTCCTTCCCACCGACCAGAGCATCTCTGACAGGCTGCTTTATCTGCTCTTAGAGTTTGCTTCTGAATACTGTATGACTGAGGGAGTTTGCCAAATCCACTTTTGAAACTTAAAGGCGACTTGTGCACAGCATGGAGAATTCAGCTGACCCTGAACAACCTGGTCCTTTTGCTGCCCTTAGTGGCTCACAACAGAAGCCAACAGTGAGTGTTATCACACTTGGCCGTGTTTTAAAGAAGGAAAGGGAAGTCTTCCAACACGAGGAATGTGAAGCTGGTGAAGTGATTAATTAGGCTCCAGGCTGCACACATCCATATTGTCTTGAGGACCTGCCTGTAAACACAGAGTGTTTATGTATTTCCACATTCCGTGCTAGAGACAGAAAGCAGATCTTCAGAGCTGAGCCAGCCAGGCACAGGAATGGATCCACCCACGGGAATCTAGGCGCCTTGAAACACAGCCTGGCCTCTCTGTGGAGACTAAATGTATCCCAGCACCTGCCAGAGAAAGATGAAGAAGATCTACTCTCTTGAGGCCTGGGTGCAAGTCTGCACCATCCAGGGGCGGGAGGAACCGATTCCACGACCACAGCATGTGACCTGGCTAAGAAGCTGACATGGATGCTGGGAGGACCAGAGGAGACCCTGCAGCTCTCCTCAGAGGTGCGTCCCCAGCTGCTGTGGCAGGACATGCCGGGCTGCCTGGGAGCCACCTCCTCCTAAGACAGGGCTGGCATGGGTGGAGGAAACAGCTAGACACTAAGAAGCCAGGACAACCATAACTATAAGCTGTGCTTTAAAACAGACCGCAACTGCTAGGTCATAGCTGAAGTTACTCATGGCTCTCTGTATCAGCATTCCCTTAATTTCATGACCTAGAATCTTCCAGAAATGCAAAAATACCTATTTTGATGCAGTCCTGTTTATGTCAGTGGCCCCAGGCCTCATGCCTTTGCATTATCCATTTGTGATTGGTTCATTATTTAGCATTTAGATTGGGAGTGTGAGTGCCACACCAGCCTAGGGGTGGAGCCAGGATGTGATGTAATAGCAGGAGAAGGCGTGTTTTGCTTTCTTGCCAGTTTCCTTCTTGCTGTTTGCAGCCACCATGAACTGCGGCCCCACCATGCCACCCTGCCTTGGAGTCAACTGAGTGTGGACTGATACCTCCCAAAACATAAGAAATAAATCTTTCCTTTCCCAACTTTGGGCGTCAGGTATTTTTGTCTCAGCGATGAATAAAAAGTAACTAACACAGAATTTGGTACCAAGGAGTGGAGTTGTTGCTATGACTATACCTGATCATGTTTTTCATGAAGCTTTGGAAGTGGCTTGTGGGCAGAGTCTGGAAAGGTTCAGACATGTTGCCTGGATGCACAGAGCTAGAACAGCTTATGCTGTTCTGTAGAAAAGATTTTGGCCAGAGCTCAGGGGACCAGAAGATAGAAAGCCTGATGGTAAAGATCAGGCTTGGGAGGTTTTTATTGGAAAGAAGAACTGCATTTGTTGTTGGACTCCTCATGATGTATGTTATGGCTTGGAGAAAGTTTGTCTGCATTTTGCTCATGCCCAGAGATTTAGCCTGAGACTGAGACTAAGGGCAATGGACTGATTAATCTAGCAAAGGAAATTTCAAGGCAGTCGAATGTTGAGGCTATGGCATGGCTATTGCTGTGGGCTTTTAGCCAGCTTTATGTTGCAAATCAAAAACAAAGAGCCCAGCAGGATAATTTACAAGGCTGTGAGTTTGGCTAGAAGGAAAACTCCAGTAAAGTTGTGAATTGTAAAGACAGAGCTGACACTTTGATTGCTGAGAAGAAACAGAGAGATGGCCAGGGGGCATCCCCAGGAAGCAGCAGGTCTCCACCTTTTGCAGGCTCAAAACTGCAAAAGCGAAAGAATGCTCAGAGGGGAAGCTGCAGAACACCATGCTCCAGAATGGCAACAGAGGCCACATGAGGTTCCAGAATGGCAGCAGCCACATGAGGTTTTGAATGATGGCAACATCAAGAAGCCTTTCTTTACAATCAGGTTCACAGAGCCCAGTGATCCAGGCAATTGATCCCTACAGCCAGGAGAGAAAAAAGCCTGGCTACTGCTCTAGCTGGCAGCAAACCTTGGCGGCATCCACATGGTCCTGATTTTAGGTGCAAGGAAAATGCACAAATTATGAGGGTAAGACGACTTCCACCTCAATTGCAAAGGGCCTCCCCAGGCAGTGTGCCCCTGAAAGGGCAATTTGTAAAGATATAAAGATGAAGCCAAAGGTGCAGTGGAGACTCCAGAAGTTTGGAAAATCCAGGAACATGGGTCATCCAAGGAAAGGTGCAAAAAACAAGCAGAGAGGGTTTAAGAGAAAAGCTGCAGGAGCTGAAATCCATGGAAGTGCCCTAGGGGTGAAGTCACCCAAGCCTTTTGGAGCCTGCAACCAGATTGCTTCAGATGCTGAGCATGAAACTCTAGGACTTAATGTTCACCCTGCTGGATGTTGGTCTAGCTTTGTTTCTAATGCTTTATATTCCCCTGTTTGTAACTTTTGGAATGGTAATATATATCTTGTGATTTTGCATTTCAGAAATGTTTAACCTTGTTCCATTTGTACAGGGGGTTCCAGTTAAGAGTTTGCCATAGCTATCAGAGGACACTTGGGACTTGGACATCTCAGCAATGCTGAAAATGTTAGGAACTTGTCAACTCTTGGAGATGGACTAAACGTCTTTTGTACAAAGGATGTGCATGAGTCATTGGGGGCCAGGGGTGGAATGTCATGGTTTATGTTGGTGGCCCCCAAGCCTCAAGCCTTTGCATTATGCATTTGTGATTGGTTCATTGTCTAGTGCTTGGTTTGGGGGTGTGAGTGCTACACCCACACAGGGGTGGAGCCAGAATGTGATGTAATAGCAGGAAGAAGGCGTGCTTTGCTCTCTTGCTGGTTCCTTCTTGCTATTTGCAGCCTCCATGAACTGCAGCCCTGCCATGCTGCCCTGCCTTGGAGCCAACTGAGTATGGACTGAAACCTCCAAAAACTGTAAGAAATAAACCTTTCTTTTCCCAACTTTGGGCATCAGGTGTTTTGTCTCAACAATGAGTAAAAAGTAACTAAGACAAGTCCCAAACAGGATAGATGAAAATTAATCCACACTGAATAACATCACAGTGAGGAACACCAAAAAACCCCAAAGAAAGTTTTAAAAACTTCAATAGTGAAAAGATAGTTGCTTAGAAAAGCGTAATTAGCAGATTTCTCGTCAGTAGGAAGATGACATGGGAGCATCAGATTTGGAGGAAATACTATCTTTGATGGGAAACTACGGTTCAATCTATAGCCCTATGGCCAGTTAATCTGTCTACTAATAATTCACTGAAGACAACAGAGAGAGACTTTTTTTAGACAAAGAATTAGAACACACAGTTTTCAGATCCTCATGGAAACGACTGACAGATACAGCCAAAGTGAGCACGAAACTACACAGGAAGTAAAGCAAAGCAGAAAGCAACAGTGAGGAAAGAAAACCAGGTTTTTGGTAAAACTACGTAAGTACTGTCTGTAAAAATGCCTACCCCCATAGGAAACAGGGGTTTTCTGCCTCAGAATTTAAAGCACCAAACTGAAAACAAGAAACACCAGAGCCTTATTAACAGTGAAGTGGTTTGGCAGATCAGCCCCCATCAGAACGTATAAAAATTGGCCAGGAAGACCACCAGTGAGAGGCCAGAATCGAGGGCTTCTTTGGAAGGAGCTGCAGGTGTACTGTGTGTTTCACGTCCCTCTGCATGGCAGAAGGGAAAGAAGCACTTCCTTTTCCCAAGGTAACTGAGGGCTTTAGAGAACTTTCCAGAAAGCCTGCACACCATGTACTCTGTGGAGCTTGTAAAGCACAAGAACTGAGTACGAGAGATGCACTCTTCCTGCTGACCAAACAGAAGCATATCAGCTAGCTGATCCAGGTCCCACCAGCAGCAGCCAGACCTGAGCCATGCTGAGTGGGACCTCGTGCAGGAGGCCCAGGTGGGACAGGAGGGGACCCCAGCAGAGGGCTGTGTGTGGGGACCTCAGCCAGGGGCAGGGCTGGAGGAGGCCTTTCTACAGGGCTGAGGGACCCCAAGATCCCATAGAGCCTCCCGGGGGTGACTGGCACGTCCAGTCCTGCTCCATCGCTGACAGCACTGTTATGGTTTGTGTCCAGGTGTCCCTCAAAGCCTCATACAGTCATGGGAGAGGGGCTTTTCAGAGGTGGCTGGCTCTAGAATGCACGGTGCTGGGATTAAGGGTGAGTGATCTAAAGATCAGTCCACTGATTGGATTGGCACAACCCTAGTCCCAGTAGCCTGGATAAGACAAAAGGGGCACAAGGAGGCTTTTCTGTGCCACTCTCCCTCTCTCACACTTCTGCTGTCTTAGCACCACAAACTGGTGCCCTCTGTCATGTGCCACCCTGTCTTGAAGCCAGCTGATTATGGATTGAAACCTCCACAAACTGTGAGCTAACAAACCCTGCCTCTTTTAACTTTGGGTGTCAGGTGTTTTGTGTCAGCAATGACAGAAAAGTAACTAAGACAAGCACTAACCACCAAGAAACAGCTGCTACCCAGTAAACTTATCACATGTCAACCTATCCTTCCTCCTCCAGCCCCCAACATGTGGGAACAAAAGGTAGCCCCTGAAGGTGTCAATGCACCCTGAAGGTGCCATAAGAATGACAAAAAGCTGGGCACATCTGCCTTTCATATTCATGCTCTGAGCCTCAGTCAGGCTTATCCAGAGGAGAAGGAAGTTTTAAATCCTATCAGAGGTAATAACTTTGATATTAGATCTCTGCAGGCTTTTGCTCTCTAGGAAAAATAGTAATAATTATTAATGTTTTCAAAAGCAAGCATTCCTAAACTAGATTTCATCCAGGAACGGAAAATATTTGAAAGAGAAAGCTGAAAAGAACAGTGATAAAAAATAAAATTGTTTTGTCCTTGCATCCTGAAACCAGTTTCTACATTACACTAGTTAAAGTGAATAATTTTTGAAAGAAATTATAAAGCTAAGGTTAATATTTGAATTTGGAATATTAGAGATAGAAACTTGAACTAAAAGCAGTTGAAATTATTTCACTGTTCACAAAGACGACAGAAGTATTTATTAATTTTAGGCTTCATTAAGCATAGGCATTTTTAAATGAAAATTAATCTCTAAACAACAGAAATATGCGGGCTGGGGATTTAGCCCAGTGGCATAAGCACCTGCCTTGCAAGCGCACGGTTGTGAGTTCAATCACCAGATCAATTAAAAAAAAAGAAACAATAGAAATATGATCCTATATCATATCCCATATCGTATCCATAATGTATGAGAAAACATAAATTAAGAAAACTTAGTCACTTAATAAAAGCTAAGGCAAAGGCCAGGGTATAAGTGCCTGCCTGGCAAGTGCAAGGTTGTGAGTTTGATCTTTGGTACAAAAATACTACTACTACTAATAATAATAATAACAAAACAAAATCTAAGGTAAAAGTAGGGAAAACTAAAGAAAATGAAAATTAAAACTTGGGACTATAAAGCACAATACATGGTGAGTTGAGAAAGTCCACATAATTTACCAATCACATTAAATGGAAATGGATTAAAACTCACTCATAAAAGACGTACTTTCGCTTAGTTAAATCCCTGTTATGGTTGATATGTTGTGGCAACTTGTTTAGAAGTTTAGCAGTTTAGCTAAGAGACCAGGCAGGCAGCTCGGGTCCTTATTCTGTGAACACCCTGAGCCCGTGTAAGAGGAGGGCACAGAGGTGGTGTGAGTGCAGCGGCTCACGAAGCCAAGCGCAGGCTTATTGTATGAGTCATCAATGATATTTCTGAGTATTTAAGAAATGTTTCTAAAACGAAATCATATCTTTGACGAAAGAGCAAAGACCAGTCAATGGAGAAAGGATATTCTTTCCAATACACGGTGTACATTTACAGGCACTAAAGAGAACTGAGACACAAAATGGATTAAAAACTTATGTCCCTGCAAAAATTCTAGGCAGGAGTGTTTGTAGCTTCTTTACCCAACATTTGGAAGCAACCAGTGTGTCCTTCAAAAGGTGGCTAAATGGTAGCACAGCCACACCACACATTATTCAGAGATAAAAAGAAATGTGACATCGAGGTATGGAGATTTGGAGAAAACACAAATGCACAAGTGAAGAAGACAGACTCTAGATTTCAAGACTATGACATTAAGGAGCAGACTGAATGCACGTCAGAAGCGTGCGTAGCTGCCTGGGATTCAGGAGGACGGGGGACAGATGAATGCATAGCACAGAGGACATTTTTAGGAAACCATTCTGCAATCACATCCTGCATCTGTAAAAACCCGTAAGACTATAGTGTGCTGGACTCTGACACAGATGATGGCCTTCGGTTAGTCACGTGTCAGGATTAGTCCATCCCCTGTCACAAACGGAACCACACTAACACAAGACGTCAAGGACAGAAGAATGGGAGGTACTGACTTAGGAATTCCCTAGACTTTGTGCACATGTTTTCCACGCATCTAAAACTGCTCCAAAAGGTATATTTTATAAGAGGACGAGAACAGATAGTGAAGAAGGTAGGGAAGCAGGTGTATTTAGATCAGCAGCCGTGGTGCGTGACTAGATGTGAAGAACTAAGAAGGCCAAGGTCGCAGCTCAGCCTCCGTGAAGGTGACAGGGTGGACGGCTTCTCACCGCCATGGTTGGAGATGTAACCAGGCCCCTGAGCTAGTTTAGGAGGCTGCTTTTGGAAAAAAAAATGAAAATGCAAAAAGCTAGGAGGTCAGCACCAGGGCTCCCCAGCGGGCATGTGCATGGCAAAGCCCACGAGAGAGAAGGCAGGTGGCCGAGCCTGAGAGGGGCTGAGCGCGTTCAGGAGAACACGGAGCATGACACCAAGCACCTAGGACAACAGGCCCTCGGAAACTCAGGGTTTTAGGGGCAGGAACTGCATGACCCAGATGATCCAAAGGCAGCCAGAGAGTTTTGGGAAGAAATGAGGGATGAAGAAGGTCAGAAACAATGAGGGGCCAAGGAGATAGCTTAGTGGCACCGTGCCTGCCTAGCAAGTACAAGGTCTGGAGTTCGATTCCCAGTACCAGAAAAAAAAAAGAAAAACAGTGATTCGAGACACTAATACAGAGTAAGTTTATGTTACGGGAAGTGATTTGAAATTTTTAAATAAATTCATGGACTGGGGTGATGAGTTATTTCCAGTATACCCTTAAATTAAAAGGTTTACCTGTAACATCGGTCAGTGAGTGGGGTAATCACGAGCCTGGGTGAATTTCCCAGATATTCGTACCCGTATCGCAGACCAGCGTTGATCATCTTTGTTTCTAAATGATTCTCCTGCGGTAAACCAGATAAAGGAAGTTAGTTAGGACAACAAAGGTTTAAGCAACATACTGTCTCAGGCTCTTTAGTAAATAACCAGAGTGCAGACTTCCTTAAAATTCACTTGTCAGATGGCATGTGATTGCACTGAAGAAGCCAGGCCCTGGGACGCTGGTGTCCATGGGTGAGTCACTGAGGCCAGTGGCTTCCATGTTTCCCACGTGACACTTCTGAGCTTGTGCTGTGTCTCTCCCATCTTTGCATTCTTGTCAACACTGAGTGGGTACTAGGATCCTCACCATTTTATAGATGAGGAACTGGCCCTCTGTCACGAGCCTGTCCAGGGGAGGACCTGGCATTTGAAGAAATGCTCCATCACTGTGTCCCTAACCACTGCCTACACCGCCCCTCCAGTGGTTTCCAGGATGCTGGCTCTGGTCTTCCCTCTCCCCCTGCTCACACCTCTGCACAAGTGCCTGCGTTGTGAGGCCTTCTGCGCCCACGTCCCCAGTCCTCTGCTCCCTCTGCCTGCACCCATCAGGCCAGCGCTGCCCCGTGTACTGACCGTTCCTGCTTCTCCTGCCTTCCCATCACAGTTCCTGCCATCACTCAGAAAGATCCTTTATAAAATCCTTTCAGATCTCAAATGCCCTCCCCACAATTCTCATGGTGCAGAAGATGCCTGGATCCTGGGGATGCTCAAGTCAGCAGTGCAGCCACAAACTGGTAAGGACGGTGGCTGACTGTGCTGTCAGGAGGAGCCGTCCCTGGGGAGTGAGCTGGAAGGTGCATCTCCCTCCCCTGCTCCTCCCTTCCCTCCCGCATGGGGCGAGCAGCTTCCCTCCGCCAGGCCCTCCCACCGGGCTACTTCACCTTAGAGCCAGCCGACAAGCTGAGACCCCGAAACCTGGGAGCCCACATAACCCTCTCCTAAAAAACATGAGAATAAAAATAAAAAACTTCCCCCCTTTAACTCGTGGGTGTAGAGAGTTTTGCCCTAATGACAAAAAAGTGACAGAGAGACAGGTCATGTGTTTAGCTTCTTCTATGGATCAATAAGAAGCAACTTGAATGACTAAATTGGAATTTAAAAGTTTGATTTGTACATTCTTTAGCTGTATCATCTAAAATTTTTAAATTGGCTGGTCTTAGCATTTTTCAAATTGCAAGCATGGTGATTTGTCTACAACTGAGTAATTTTTGACCTAACTTTTTAATCTATGTATATAGTCACATACAACAATGCATTTGGGTACAGATACAGATCTAAACATAGATACTGATGATTCAGCTATTGCCTTCCTTAATCTCCAAGCTGGGTAGAGTCGGTCATCAGCAAAAAAAGTGTTATATTAGTGACACTATTTCCCACGCCAGCACACAGGCACAATTAAAAAGCCACGACCTGAACTTGCTCCATAATAACACACAGGGCTGAAACTCACCTGCCAATAGTACCTAAGCTGACTTAGCCATTCAAAGTCAGAGTCGTGACTGACGCGTTTTTGGACCAGTGTTGCAAGCACATCTCTAGCATGGACGTCCAGCACCACAAGGGCTCCCAGAGTAACGCGATTCTGCTTGGACAGTTTGCCCCGGACCAGCGTGACAATGTCATCAATTTGCTTATTACATTTTTCCAAGTACTGCTCGAGAGCCTGAAAGAAAAAAAAAAAACATATGATTTCCCAGTGTGACCAGAATCATTTTGAACGTGAATATTTTGAATTAGTATGGCAGTTGGGTCTTCTCTGTATTTTCCTCTTAAATTTCTACATGATGATTTAAAAATAATCAATTTTCCTTACTGCCAGAGATGCTAGGTTGACAAGCCCAATCTGGCGAGGTACAGTGGGTACAGGGGTTTGTGTCAGCCCAACGCCCTCTCCTTTTCTTTTTCAAGCCTTTCTCTGTTCTGTGCTTCATTTGGAACTGTCAATCATATTCACCCATCTCCATAGTAACATGGGACAGGGATGTGGGAGCCAATCAGAACTCACCGTAGTTCTTCCTGGGGAGCACTTCACACTGAGAGAAGAAAGCGCTTTCCTCTAGGCTTACTGGCTTTGACTATGAAGCTACAGCAAGCCTTCATCCTCTCCCAGAAAGAAGCTCCCACAAGACTAGAAAAGAGTAGAGGTGATGAAGCCTGAAATTCTGATTCTGTCTTTCACCCTGTGGATCTATTGGTCCCTCTGCTAACTTCCAAAGGGGGTTAGCATCGCTCAAAATATGAAGAGCTGCCATGGTGTGGAGGGGATTTGACTGTGTCCCCCAAAGTTGCCTTACGGAGCTGTGGTCTCCAGTGTGGCAGTGCTGAAGGAGGGGACCTTTGAAAAGTGGGGTCTAGAGAAAAATAACTAGACAGAGGGGCATCACCCTCATAAGGGATTAGCACAGGGCGGGTGGCTCTGGACCAGTTCCCCTGAGGATGGGTTGTTATTTCAGAAGAGATCCTGATTTTTCTCTTGCTTTCTTCCACCATGTCATCTTTCCCTCTAGCAACACCTTACCATGACGTCATGCACCACGTTGTGAGGTAAGCACAAGGCCCTGACCAGGCTGCCCAGCCTTGGAGTTGCAGCTTCCAGCGCTGAGCTAAGTAAACATCTCTGTAGCAAAGGTATTTTGTTATAGCAGCACAAATGGACCATGCCAGGTATCAATAAGCAGAACACTAATGGTTTTGCTGATGGTGAGCGAAGGCCAGTTCTAAGGACCAGCTTCCCTTGTCCTCCCTCCTCTGGTAGATGAATCTGACTCAAAGTCAGACAAGGGCTTGTGATGAAGAGCACAGCAGGATGATTGCAAACCACTGTGCCCAAGGGAGTGGGCAGTGTGCTCCAGGAGGCTGACCTGGTCACTTTCTCCACTCTCACGATGTTTGATAAACATTGCACACACAGTTTATTTCACCTTTTAAGAGCTTCTGCTGAGTGGCAGCAATGATACTGAAAGTGAGGGAAATCCTATGTGTCAATGCTCTGGTTTTCATGGAGAGAGACCCTTTCCCGAAAACCCTTGACCTTCAGACCTACACTTTTATTTCTTCCTGCAAAGGAAGTGACCTGTTGGTTGGCTGCAGAGATTTAAGCATGTGTCATTCATCTCCTTCTTCTTTAGGACTGCCTACCTACCAAGAATATGTGTTCCTCTCAAAGCCTAACCAATGGTCACTGGTGTCTTAGAGTTAGAGACACACATCAGATTAGAGAAGCAGGGTTGTTGCTGTGACTATATCTGACCATGTTATTTACAAGCCTTTGCAACTGGTTTGTAGGAGGAGCTTGAAAAACTTTGGAGATGGAAGGTGGAGAAGTCTTAGAAGGCTACAAGCAGAATCTGACTGATGATTTTGGTAAAAGCTTGGAATACCAGAATGCTGATAGAAACGCAGACAGCGAAAGCCAGGCTCACGAGGTTTCAGTTGGAAATAAGGATTCCATCTGGACAGCTGAACCAGAAGCCATGTCTGTTCCACTTACACAGAAAATTTATGTATATTTTGCCTAAATCCTGAAATCTTGTGGAAGACTGAGATTAAGTGTGGGGGACTAATTAATCTGGCAGAGTGAATTACAAAGCAGACCAACGCTCAGGCAGTAGCAAGGATACTGATAGTTGCCTTTACCAGATTTCAGATGACAGTCAGAAGCAAAAAGTAAAGCCAAAAGATGTGAAAGTTTCCCACAAGTGAAACGCCTGCCAACGTGGGACCAAGCTGAAGAGATCAGCTCCGTAAAAAGCAGCTAAGTACTCTGCATCAGGACAGCAGTAAAGATGCCTTGAAGATGTCTCAGGAAATCACCAGGCCCAACTCAACAAAAGTTCAAGCATGCAAAGGGTAAACTCTTTAAAAGACTGCTTTGAGAAGAGAATTCTGGGTATCCTACTCATTTGGGGTATCCTGGGAAGTATCATCGCAAGTTCAGCCATCCAGACACAGGCACTTACAGGCCACTGCAGCCAGGGTACAAGGGGACCTGGCTACTGCCTGAACTGGTAGCAGACTCTGGTATCATCCAGTTGGTGCTAGTTTTTCAGGCATGCAAAAAGCAAAAGTTGTGAGGTAATGGGGGCTTCAACCCAGATTTCAAAGGAAAGCCGGGGGGCTATGCAGTGAGCCCCTGAGAGGACGGTGTGTGAAGCTCTGAGAGTGAAGTGGAAGGTGAAATGGAGAGCCGATGAAGCCGGAAATTCCAGGAACACGGAATTTGTGCTGAGGAAAGCCACAGGCTGTGAGCAGATCCTCCCCAGGAAAAGGTCACATGGGCCGTCACAGGCAAGGTCACAGGGGCAGGGCTAGCCAATCTCTTTGGAGTTAACATTTCAACAAAACCTACCCTAGATGCTGAACATGAAGGTTCAAGATTTAAAGTTTGCCCTGATGGTTTTCAGTCCTGTAAAGTCCTTTCTAGTCTCCTACACCTCCTTTTTGGAATGGGAATATTTGCTCTGTGCCATTGTATGCTTGAAGTGTTCAATTTATTTTGCGACTTTCACAGGGGCTCACAGCTTAGAATTTTTCTTGAATCTCCAGCAATACTTTTTGGCAACTCTTAGAGTTGGACGAAACACATTTTGCATAATTAGATAAGCCTGAAGCTTTGGGGAGCCAGAGTGGTCTAAAATGTCCCCTCAAGGTCTCAGGAGTCAGACATGGGGCTTTTCAGTCACTGCACTCATCAGTGGGATGATCCATTGATGAGTTCATAGCTAAATATGCTGTTAGGAGGTGGAGCCTGGGTGGAGGAGGCAGGTGGATGGCACGTGCCTGTCCCTGGCTCCTCTTCTCTCTCTGCTTCCTGCCTGTTGTGAGTCGAGCACCTTCATCCACCATGCAGTTTCTGCCTGGGAGACAGACAACCATGGGCTGACCCCAGTGTAAACTGTAAGCCAAAGGCTTCTCCCCTCCCTTAAGTTCTGGGTGTTGGTTGTTCTGTGCCAGGGACAAGAAAGTGACTGAGACATATCAAATTCCATGCATGTCTAAATGCATTTAAACGTCATGGCTTTAGTTGGGCCTGGTGGCACATGTCTATAATTTCAGCACTCGGGAGACTGAGGTAGGAAGATTGCTGTGAGTTCAGGGTCAGCCTGGACTACACATGAATTCAAGGCCAACCTGAACTGCACTGTCTCAATCAATCAATCAATTAACTTTTTTTAAGAGTCTCATTATGCAGCCTCAAACTTGTAACAATCCTCCTGCATCAGCTTTCCAAGTGCTGGGATTACTGGTGTGTGCCAACACACCTGGCCAATGTCATGTTTTTATGATTTGTTTTATTTCGTTTTTGAGACAGGGTCTCGCTATGCAGTTCAGGCTGGATTTGACCTCACTTTGCCGCACAGCCTAGGCTTGAACTCACAGCAATCCTCCTGTCTCAGCCTTCCAAGTGCCAGGATTACAATCATGTACCCACCACACCCAGAAATGTCATGTTTTAAACTAAACATCCACAATTTCTAGATTCCAGTTGAATCATAGTCCCTGAAAATTGGGCTCACTTAAAGTTCTATCTCAAGGATAAGACTCGTGTTGAGTATAATTTATTTTTTAATTAACAGTAGCCACCTAGTTAATATTAAAGTCATCTTAATATTAATAAGTATTAATATTAAGTCATATTAAAGTGTAGGTATGTTAGACCATTGAAATAGTTAATGTTATCACTCAAAACATTACTTATTCAAAAATGAATGTATTAACAATTGAAATAGAGTAAATCAGCTGATTCCTTGTATACACAGGTAGTCTTACTCAAGACTCAAAAGAGCATTATACTACTCTATATCTGCCTCATCTATCTAAGCTTAGAAAATTTCTTTGTTCTATTATCTCCCTATTTTTTAAGGTAGAAAATATATATATACATACATATATAAAATAACAAGAGCAATGTTCAATCAGTTTTACACAATGTGAATAAGCTAGTGGTTTAGACATAGATTTTGGATAATTATTTGTATGAGTTCTCCTGCGCATCTGTGATTTGGAATTGTATTTAAGATCTGTACTTCGCTGCCTGCGGCATCCAGTGGATTTCTGAGTGGGCTCTCCCACTCGGCTGTTCTGGAGTGAGTCCATCCTCTCAAGGCAACTTTGGAAAAACCGCGGAAACACGGGTGCTAAGCGCTCACCTCCAGCCCCACTGCAATGGCCGTTTGCACTTCTTTCGTCCAAAACGTCTGGGACACGCAGAGCACCGCCTGGCCGGGCCACTCCCGCACCCAGTTAATGCGCTCGTTGTTTATATAGGCCTGGATGGCGCTCCCGATCACCTGGGTAGGAGAAGAAAATGCTAGCGACAAACAGGTTGTTGAACCAGCTACATAATGAAGACTAAAATTTCTACACAGATTACCCCACACTGCTCAGCATTCTTCACCAATAATGAAAGAATGACGTAGAACAGAACTGCTTAAATTCAAATTTATTCATATATTTATGGACCTAGGCATTACCTAACATTTTAATGTTGCCAATATAGTATCAACTTGTATGAACTACATTATGTAAAATAATTATTTGACCAGTTTTAGTGAAAAACATCCTATATACATTTTAATTGAACAAATAAAGGGCCAGGGCTTTAGGTCAGAGGCCCAAGCACTTGCCTAGTAAGGACAAGGTTGTGAGTTCGATCCCTGGCACCAAAATAAGTAAATAAATTTAAATCATTCCAGGTGAGGTACATCAAATGAATGGCTAATGCTTTCACGGTCTATGATCAGATCCCCACTTAGGGCACATAATCACATCACACAGTCCTCTAAAGAGCTCCTGTGTTTGGGGCTCACTCCGTCCTCAATTTTATGGGTCTAGAAGGCACCAAAAACCTACCCTGGAGAAAGGCTAACCTCTGTGAAAGGAGGTGCTGGGAGAACGGATTGTGCCTAGATCCCCTCTCACCACATACTAAACTAAGATCAAAAAGGATCAAAGATCTGCTTGAAGATAAAACAGGTAAAACTCTTGGGGTCACAAGGACTTTCTGAACAGAACCCTGGTTGCACAGGAAATAGGACCAAGAATTACCACATGGGATCATACTAAGTTAAAAAGCTCTGTGCAGCAAAAGAAGCAACCAAGGGACTGAAGCGACGACCTGCAGGATGGGAGGACATTTTTGTCAGCAGTGCCTTGGGCAGAGCCCTGATCCCTAGGATACACAGAGAACTGCAAAAAAGAACAGAAAAAAAGGCACAAAACGAAAGACCCGATCAAAAAGGGGCAAGTGGAGTAAAGATACTTCACAAAGAAACAGTAACGGCCAAAGAACTGAAACCCTTCCTCCAAGCACTTTGGCAAACAAAATCATAAGTATAGTTGAAATAGTCATAGATAAATCTACAGCAATGAGTTAACACTATTAGCAAACCCTGTGACCCGATGCAGGGCCCTAAACAGTGGTCACAGTGGACTCCTCTGCCCTGCCAATGGTCATGTAGAACGCTGTTTGTTGCTACTTCCAAAGACCTGTGAACACGCTCCCTTAGCCAGGGGTCTGACACACACGGTCATCCTAAGAAGATGGATTATTAAATCAAAGTAACCAACTCTATGGCTTGTAATATAATACAGAACAGGGAGAAAATGGGAAACTTTCAGAAGGTTTGATATTTACTGGGGGCAGTAAGGCTATTTTTAGGATGAGAACATTTAGACACATGGCAATGTCAAACCCAGACTCCACTGAATTTTAGCACTAATATACAGGAGACGAGGAAAAAGTAATTTCCTGCTCTCCGTTCATGGTCCCCTGCTCATAGGTTTTGTTTTTCTTGAACACTTGAATACAAAACCTGTATTATAGTAGAAAAGTGAACATGGGTGTGCAATCTCCACTTGTCAGTGTGACTTAAAATTCTCCAAATGACCGAGCTCACAGGGTGCGTCCTGCAATGTGACACAGATGCGGTCACCATGAGCTGAGGGCAGCAGGTACGATTCTGTAACATTCTGCTCCGCATCCTCCATATCAGAGAACAGAAAGACGCGTGAGTCTGAGGGGGATGGATGTGAACTCCAGGAAGGTGTGCAGGGGGCACCGAAAGGAGACCAGGTATGTACACAGGGACTGCCCGAAATGAAACAAGTGCATTCCTAAAACCCAGTGTTCTCCGGAAGCGTGGATGGCGTTTGTCACACTCCAAGTGAATCCCGACAAAGCAACTACCGCAGGCCAGCTGCTGCCCTCGGGTCACCTGTCCCTCCGGAAACGGTAATTCCTGCCTCCACCTCCCGCTACACCACCGCGCCTCTTCCAATGGGATCTTTATGGTGGCACTGCCGTTCCTGCATGCTTTCCTGAAAACAATAGCAAACACCCCAGCCACCTTGTGAATGGAGTTAATCATGATTCGCTCCAGCTCCACCAGCCACTTCTCCACCTGGCCTCGGGCCTTGGCGGTGGAAATGGTCTCCATGAGCTCCACCACCTCGCCTTCGCTGCTCTTCATGTGCGTGATGTCCAGCGTCTCTGTAAATTCCACCTTCGCGATTCCTTCAAAACATTTCTTCAGGTGAGGTTGCACCCTGGCGGGAAATCCATGCAAAGAGTTAACCAAATGAAAGCGACGGTTCCACATGTCCGTCCACTGTGTCTTCACTAAAAATTTGCCAATGAGCAAAGTGTGGGACCTGTGCTAGGGGCACTGAGCGTGGAAGGCGGAGCCCAAAACAAAAACCAAGCAAAGCACCACACAATCTCTGCCTACACAGAATACGAGGTCCAGAGGAGCTCAGAAAAGAGCAATAAAGTTATAGTTATAAAACCTGCAAAGCAGAGAGACACCCACAAGTCTTCATTTTTCAATGCAGTAAATTGAAAGATGTTCAAAGTAGCCATAAAAAACTATGTTTTTGATTTTTTGAGACAGGGTCTCCCTATGCGGTTCAGGCTGGCCTTGAGCTCACTTTGTAGCCCAAGCTGGCCTCAAACTCAGGGTGATCTCCTGCTGTAGCCTCCCAGTGCTGGAATTACAGACGTGAGCCACATTGCCTGGCTTAAGCCATTTTTAACTAACAGATGAATGCACCAGTTTAAAGACTCTTCAATACACCAAAGTAGCCATTTCAAACGAAATCTTCAGAGACTGCTTGAAAATTATAGCCTTTAAGTCCTTCAGTGCTTTAAGTACTCCGCAGTTTATCAAATCAACTGCTGTGACACACCCAACTGTTACACTATTCGGTGTAATAGGGATGGAAATGCGTGAGCCCCTCAGTTTGGCACATTACCAGTAACAGTTGCATTCATCTTTCAAACTGGCAGAAAGAAGCAGCTTATAAAATTCAGTTACAAATCTGAGGCTAAATTTATCTTTTTAAAAAAATCTGGGCCAGGTGACTCATTCTCTGAAGGCACATTATATAAAATAAATTTATCTAATAAGTTATTTATTCACTGCCTACTTTCTATCAGATACTTTTCAGCAGCAGGAAAATTTGGCAAAGATCTCTGCCATCGTGGAGCCCCACGGGCAGTAAAGAAGCAAAGCACAGTGTGCGCCTGGTGATCACAGACACGCAGAAAAATGTCTCATTTCACAACATTACTTATGTTTGGGGGCATTATTTAAGGTTCACTTGAAGAGAAGTCATTCTATAAACATGGTTTCACAGAGTTACGTATGTTCCATCTTATTCTAAGAGTTAAATTCAAGCAGATAGACCCAGCCTCGGACCACAGCCCATGGGAGGAGTTACCGGGTGGGATCTTTAGTCTCGGACAGGATCTCGAGAAGTTCATCGTTTGACAAGAAAAAGAATCTGGGGAAGAAGAGCCGTTTCTTTTCCAAATATTCATTCAGTCCTTTTAGAATGAGTTCCAAAAGTTCATTATTCTTTTTCATCTTTTCCAGCATTTTGTCAATAGTTACAACTGTCAGAACGTGTTTATTCTAAAAGCCAAAGAGAAAACACTCGACTCAAAAACCTCAGACAGTGACGTTGCATGGATTCATACATCCAAGGTTTAGCATTTCGAATCAAATGAAGGTTATGCAGATTTCAAGGTGAAAATTTGTAGTTATAAAGTCATCCTGCACTTTCCGGGTCGACCCAGCCTCCTTAACCCTTTGATCCTGAGCCACACTGCTAGAAAGAGAAAGAATGAGAAAGACAGACAGACGGACAGACAAGACAGAGACAGAGACAGAGAGACAGAGAGAGGCAAGCTCTGAGGATAAAGATGGGCAAAACAAAGTATCAGATACATCTTCCAGTCCCTTATTCTTTGAGGAAAAGTATTCTAGATAGTAAATCATCATTAAAATTACTGTTTTGAATGTGTTCCCAACAATAATAAAGTGGAGCAGTCCCTTTTCATAACCACAGTTTGAAAAGTAGGTGTTAGGAGTGGTGGGGGCAGTTTTCCGCAGAGACTGTGCCCACCCCACCCCTAGCAGTGTGGCTCAGAATCAAAGGGTTAAGGAGGCTGGGTCGACCCGCAGCACTGCGTGGCCCTCCGCTGCCCGGGGCTGGGCGCAGGTCCCCACTTCCCAGACTGCCAGTGACACAGGTGTGGCCGCTGGGATCCAGAGCCCGGTGCAGACAAGGGGACCCTGTGAGGGCTTTGCAGTGATTCAAAAGGACAGAGTGCTTAAAGAGCTTTCTTTTGTGCTGTAGAATTCAAAACAAGAACTATAACCAAAAGTTCAGATTGAGAACTCATTTTTTTAAAAATAGAGTATGCTGACTTCTAAAACTATCTGTATACTAATGGCTGGGTTTAAAAGAATCTTATTAAATACATATTAGACATATGAATCAAATATCATATAAACATATTAAACTAGAAAAAAACACTAAAATACTATCCAGATACAGTTGAAATATTTTTGTTTTTAAATCAGGGTCTCACTGTGCTGTTCAGATCGGCCTTGAACTCATGGCAGATTTCTGTCTCAGCCTCCCAAGTGCCTGGATCACAGGCATGTGCCCCTCACCCGTTTAAAATTCTCTTTCCCCCCACTTTCTTTCATACCTGATTAATATCACCCAAGCCTATTCTGGGTCATGTAATTCCACACTCAGTGTTTACCACTGACAAATTAGAGAAGTTCTTTATACATGGTCCTCAAAAGGTATTAAAATATAATATAGATTTCCATCACCAGGCAAATAACAAACATCATGAAAACATGCTAGATATTTATTAATATAATGGGGCATTTTAGTAGGTTTATGTGAAATTAAAGTAGGATTTTAAAATTTATGTGGATCAAAAATAATATTATTCTTCAAATAAACACTAGTTTCAATACTAACTAGTTAATTTCCACATTCAGCTATGACTGAAAGATCAATCAAAGCTTTCAGCTCTATACTATTTCTACAAGAATTTTATTATCACATGAGTTTATATACTTTGAATATAGCCCAAAAATATAATATTTTGCTTTGCCTTGAATTATAACAATGCAACTTGGAAATATAAAAATTTAATCACAGGGCAAAATAATTATCATTAATACTTGTTTTCACAATAAAGAGAAATTTAAAATATGCAATAAAATTAGATCAACTTACTTTTAGAGCACAACTTATTAAAGGAATTTTATTTACTAAGTTTTATATTTCAAATAAATATTGCACACACACACACACACACACACACACACACACACACACACTATAATTTAAAATGTGCCATTTTTCCAGTCCAATGGAGAATACTTTAATAAACCCAAATCCGAAAATGAAATTAGTGTTCCTCTAGCGCCATCTACTGGAAAAGTATACTTTTCTTTGCTAAAAAAAGAAAGCTGACTTGTTGCTGATAACAGGAAAAACTTACGAACTAACAGCACTTGTTTCATTCTTGCCAAAATAACTGATTGCAATATTGTTGTTTTTTTATATAATACCTAAAAGCTTTAAAATTAAGTTTTAAAAATAACAGGTTATATTCCCTTCACTAAATATAACTGTCAAACAAACAACCTAAAAACCCTGCAAAAACTTAGCAATTGAATAAATATTTTGCCAATCACTAGCGCGTCTCTGAAATGCTTAGGACCAGAGTGACTCACATTTCAGAATTTTTTGGATTTTGTAACATTTGAATAGACTTTTCCAGTTGAACATTATTAATCTGAAAATGCAAAATCAAAAAATAAAAAGCTCCAGATTTTGGAGCATTTCAGATCACAGATTAAGGACGCTTCACCTGTATTACATTGCTGAAGTCAAGCCTACGTAAGCAGATGGTCTCGGTGAACTCGGGTGATAACTGTGTACCTCTGTCCGCTGTTTCGGTTTCCATCCAAGATGTCTCCCCAGTGGCTGCGTTCCCAGGGGGAGCTTTGGTAGTGATGGGGTGGTGGGGCTCTAACTTGGTCAGCGGGCTCATCTGCTGGTGAGGGTGACCTTGACAGCATCTCGGGGAGGTGATGGAGACACGCAGGTGGGCCCTGGCTGCAGGCAGTGGTCATGGAGCCTGGCCTCGGGGACCCCTCTGGGCCCAGCCCCTTCCTCTCTGGCTCTTTTCCATGCTCCGTTACTCTGGTTTTTAGTGATGGGTGTCACCCCGCCATGTCCTGTGCCATGATGTTGCTGCCCTGGAGCAGCTGGCCATGGACTGTAAGCCCTGAAACCAGCAGCTCAGATGAACCTCTTTTCCTTTAAGTGGGTTCTGGCCGCACCACCCCCCACAATCACTGACTTGTATCAGATCTAAGGAAACGGTACATAAATGCACCATTTCACGCCCAGAAACTAAACTCCCGTCCCTCTCTCGGGACGTGAGAAGCGTGTTACACATAACAAAGCTCACTTCAGACAAGCGAGAGCCACGAGTTTCTGATTTCTTTTTTTTAAATAAAAAAGAGAAAAGTTAGAAAAGGAAAACAAAAAGCGAAAGGCATAAACAACAACAACAAACTCAATAAAGGTTTTCAAAACAGAATGAAAGAAACTTAATGATGGTTGTTATATTGCACATTGTTCTCTTTTTTTCAAAAAAAGAAAAGAAAATTAAAGAAAATAGAAAAAAATAAGGGAAGAACAATATCAAATTCAAAAAACTTATTGTAGAACCGCTAGTTGATACATTAATCATTGTCGTCTTAAAACATAGTTGCCAAAGTCACAAAATCAAAGCCTAGTGGCTAGACACTCAAAAACTGACAGTGCAGATACTTCTGTTCAATGTTCCAACAGAGATTCAGTAATATGGTCATCTGTCTTACATACTGTATATATCATTATACCTGTGAGATCACTTTCCTTCCCTTTTGCCTTCACAGTATCTATTATACTTCTTGAATCCCATTATTCTGTCATTTTTATTATTTTTTTACACTAGAGAGACAATGTGATATTTACTAATGTGAGCCATTTCACTAATGAGGATATTTCAAGTTGCCTCCATTTACCTATAAAGGCCTCAAGATCATCCTTTTTATGGCTTAGTAGTATTCCATTGTATAAAAATACCACATTTTTTTCATCCACTCTGCAGTTGACGGGCATTTTGACTGTTTCCAAGATTTAGCTATTACACATTTTGCTGCTGTGAACATGGGTGCACATATGGGTATGACATCACTTTTTCAGTTTTTCAGGGAAAATACCCAGGAGGGACATAGCTAGGTTGAGTGGAACGTCCAATCCTAGTCTTCCATTTTCTAATATCTAGTCTTCTGAGAATTCTCCATACTGGTTTCCACAGTGGTTGCACCAGTCTGCACTCCCACCAACAGTGGAGCAGTGATCCTTTTCCCCACAGCCTCGCCAACATGTGTTATCAGTTGTTTTCCTGATGGCAGCCAGTCTTTCCAGGGTGAGTTGAAATCTCAATGCTGTTTTAACTTGCATTTCTTGAATGACCAGTGATGGTGAGCATTTCTTAATGTATTTATTTGCCATTTGTATATCTACATCTGAGAACTGTGTGTTCCTCTCTGATGCCCATTTTTGGAGAGGGTCCTTGAATTTGGGGGTCTTGATGTTTTTCAGTTCTTTGTATGTTCTGGATATAAGTCCTTTGTCTGAGGGATTGTTGGCTAAAATTCTTTCTCATTCTGTGGGTTTTCTTTTCACTCTGTTGGTGATTTCTTTTGAAGTACAGAAACTTTAGTAATATGAGATTCCACTTGTTGATTCTTTGAAGTATTTCTCGTGCAGATTGCATTTTATTTATAATTCTCTGTCTACCCCTATGTCTTCAAGATTTCTACCTACCTTGTCCTGCAGTAGATTTAGCTTTTCTGTTTGAATGTGTAGATCTTTGATTCATTTTGACTTTAGTTTAGTGTATGATGATAGGCATGGTTCTATTTTCAGTCTTCGGCATGTGGAAATCCAATTTTTCCAACACCATTTTTAAAGAGGCTTTTTTCCAGTGAACATGTTTAGCCATTTTGTCAAATATCAGGTAGCTGAGTGTTTTTGTAGTTGTGCTTGCATCTTCTAATCTGTTCCATTGATCCTCAGGTCTATTTCTTTGCCAGTACCATGCTGATTTTATTACTGTGGCTTTGTAGTATAGTTTCAGGTCAGGAATTGAGATGCTTCCTGCCTTGCCTTTGTTGCCCAGAATTGCTTTTGTTATTTTAGGTTTCTTCTGTTTCCAAATAAATTTTAGGAATATTTTCTCTAGATCTGTAAGGTATGTTGATGGTATTTTGATTGGGATTACATTGAATCTGTGCAATAGTTTGGGGAGTATGGCCATTTTCACAATGTTGGTTCTTACTAACCAAGAGCAAGGAATATCCTTCCATTTTCTAATATCTTCTTCAATCTCCTTTCTTAAGAGTAGTATAATTTTCAGCATAAGGGTCTTTTGCATTCTTGGTTAGGTTGATTCTTAAGTATCTGACTCTTTAAGATGCTATTGTGAAAGGTGTTATTTCCATAATTTCTCAGTGAGTTTTTTGTTTGTGGACAGGAATGC